GCTCCGCATTCCGGCCGGTCCGACCGGTCGTAGGCGCGACGTACGCGGTAGCCGTTCGCGCCAGAGCGAGAACGATGTATGGCGGCGGACGTGCGACAGACGACCGGGCTCCTCGATAACGGAGATAAACCGCGAATGTGACAGGGCTGACGTCACCGCAGCGATCGACCACTGCCGTCTATGTCAAACATATGCCGTCGCGGATAGAGAAGGCGGCGGCGTTCGTTTTCGGCGACACGTAGGCGAACGTCGTCGCCGCTTACCTTGCGGATTCGAGTGTATCCATGGGCATGCAAAACCACGTCCCGCGAGACCCGACAACAACGGCACGGTACCACGGATTGGTTGCGACGCGTGCGAGCGTCTGCTCCGCCGCGCGGTTCTCCACTGACTGCCCGACGACGACGACGACGACAACGACGGAAACGAAAGTTCAGAGTCGATCGGCGCGCGCCTTCCACGCGCGAGTCGGCGCCTACTTGTTGCTCTCTCCTCGCGGAAAGCGAAAATTCGGGCGGCGAGGGGTCGCGGGTTTTTCACGTGGCTTCCACCGAGACGACGTCCCCCAGGTGCGAGATGCCTTCTTCTCGTCTCTTCGCCGAGGGGTTTCTCCACCAGGTCCCGGACACGTAAGTGTCAACGAGAGCGGAGCGAGCGATAATCCTAAACGCGAACTGTCCCGTGACCCCCCACAGAGACATCCGCCAGGTGCAAGGTGGGTTCTTCCCCCAGAAACCGGTTTAATGCGCCTTTTGCGACGCGCGCTTCGCGATTTCGGACGTCGTCTTCGTCGATGGGTTTCTCCACCAGGTCCCGGACGTCATCTTCGGGCGGTGGGCGAAGTCGATTTCGAGGGTGATCGATCCCGGAGTGAGGCGAAGGTCGGGCGCGGGCGCGGGCTAGTTGCCGGGACAATAGCTCGCCCCGGAAAGATCTTCCCGAGTTATTTCTAGAAACCCCGGGGTGGGGGGCGGGCACGTGCGTTCGCCGAAACGTCCCCGAAGTGACCCAGCTCGAGTTCGATGCGCGCCAGGCAGCTGCCGGTTTAAACGTTTTTAATTGAGGCCCGGATGGCCTATTAACTAACGGCGACACGTGGGTCGTTAAAAAATGTAAAACTGTCGCCCGTACGGACGGAATAAAACGCTTAATTGGCGACGACGCGCCGCCGCTGCGCGCCGCCAAGTCGCATCCGCAACCTTTTTTGGGAAGAATCAACGCTGACGGGTACCGGGCCCCCGCCTCCGACGGTATCGCGGCCTTGAACTTTCCTCGGAACGCGATCCGAGGGATTTCGCGGCAAATATTGATCGCGCGGCACCGTCGTCGTCGTCGTCGTCGTCGTCGGGGTGGCAATTTTGTTAATTCTGTTTACCAACAACTGTAAACCCGCTGCAAACATTATGCGGGTCTCTCACTTCTAAAATGTTAACAAATCTAACGGAAATCATATACGGAAAACCGCGCTTAAAGCCTGTTCATAGATATAAGAAAGTGATTAACTGATACGAATTAAGGAAAGACCCGGGCAAGCTGTAAGAATGAAATATGGCCGAACAGGTCCGTACTTTGCTTAGAATTTAATTATTTGGGGTTTTGTTAGGAAAGATACTAAACAATGTTTATTTATTTATGTATGTATTTATGTTTAAATCTAAAATAAAATTACAAATTATTTTTATTACCACTTAAATTACTTAAAATTATTCACATAATATATCAGTATCACTATCGCTATCATCGCCTGTTCTAATTATTATTTGTTCTATATTATTTGCAATATGGATATACGATTGTTCTGCTTTTTCTATATGTTTAACAGAATTTGCCCATCTTTGTGGAGGGGCGTTAAAAACTTCGGTTTCTATAAGTTTGAGGACATTGGAGTTAACACGGGGAGAAACATTGTTACGACGAATGGCAGATTTCAGTTGGTGCCAAACGTGTTCAATGGGATTAAAGATATAGTGGTAAGGTGGAAGCCTTAAAACTGTATGCCATAGATTTTTTTGCTTTTCGCTTCGAAATTTAACGAGTTTTATCTGGCGTCATTTTGTAAAAAACACCAGTTTCGTCAGCAGCGTACTTTTCTGCTAGTTTTCACCACGTTTTGACCAGTGACGTTTCTGTCGACATCACGGGCTTGGTCACTTATCTGTCCATAATTTGTACCGAAGCCTTGAAATCGATAATGTCAAGCTGTTCAGCAAATTTTTCTGCTTTTAGTTTTACGATACTGCACTTTTTACAGGGCTGCACTTATGGCGCTGAAGTCAGTGCGTATGCGCTTCTTGTTGATAAAGGAGTGCAAAGGGGTACTGAGGAGGGTGGCTGAGGAGAGGAAGGTCACGTTGGTCTCCTGGTTGGAGGGCTCCTCGCATAGGCATATAGGGCCAGAGCCCCGCTTGGGGATCGGCCCGTGTGTGAGGCGGGGAGCTCTCAAAGCCGGGGCGAGAGACCGGGCCGCGGGGGGCTGAAGAGTTGCTCCGGGAATGAGGCAGGCGAGGCTTATGATGGATGGGCCCGCCCTCCCTCGGACCAGGGAGCTGCTTAGACTGACCAGGAGGGAGTGTAGAGCACTAACAGGGGCCTACACAGGACATTGCAGGCTTAGGAGGCATCTTTGCTTGCTAGGCATTGGAGACGGCCCGGAGTGTAGGTGGTGCATGGAAGGGGAGGAGACCCCGTATCATCTGCTCACCGAGTGCCCTGCCTTGACATGGGCAAGATTGGGAGTCTTCGGAACGGCCCTGATCGATCCGGACTCAGTGCACGGTATTGGGCTAAAGGAGTTGCTGACCTTCTACAGGAGGGGCGGCATTCTGGACGCCCTCTAGAGCGGCCTGGGGGCACAACGGGCCCATCTGGTGGCCTAAGTGCTTGGACGCCCGCGAGGGCGCCCCCCTTTAATACCAATACCCTCTTTTTGATGGCGCGTTTGTTTTGCACTTATCAGTTGAGTCAACCCAGCCGTTTTCCGGGGTATCATAAGTGTCGAACCGGGTTTCATCCAATAATTGGCCTTTGTTGTTCTCTGTAAATCCTATTTTTTTCTAAATATTCCAGTCGCCATTTCCGAATCCTAAAAGACTCCATTAAAACTTGCCTTTTGTCAATTTTTTTAAATCTAAAACCCATGTGTTGAATACACTTCCATAAGGTAGTTCTGCCACATTTAACACCGGTTTCATCTTTTTCAAGCCTCCTAATAAAGATATCTAATGTAGGCAAGCTTTGTTCCTCGTATAACTGATAAATCTTACGCCGTATTATATCTTGACCACTTTCATCTACACTCATCACATCGCTTCGTTTTTTCCTCTCTGAAATGGGATTATTCACAATTTTCCGTACAGTTGATGTTGGAATTTTCATCAATGTGGCCGTTTCTTCTAAAGATGCTTGCTTGCTGGCACCACGTTCAATGAGAGTCAAATAAACATTGTTTATAACTTCCTTAGTCTCAATAGAATAGTGTTTTCTACATTTGGGCGGGAGCATCTCCTGAGATAAGTGTATCTCGGACTCGCACATATTTTGCATAATTCGCACACGATTCAACACACGCTGCATTACACACGAAATAAGAATGATTACTACTAAGTAGTATACCAAACCAAAGAATATTAAACACAGGTAGATATAAAATTATTTTCTATTACGGACCACAATTTTACCTGAATTTAAATTCCGAAACTTTAGGTAATAATCTTATTGCATTGTATGTTAATGACGACCCTTGGATAATCCCATTTAAAAGCAATTGACTACTTTCTTATATCTATGAACAGATCATACCTAGGTGAAAGAGAATAAAAATAAGTAAAAGCGAAAAACAACGTAAACAATCGCGGTAATCGATTTTTGTCGTTCGATATCGTTCCGATCGAATTTTGAGCCGGCAAGGGACGGAATTGCTCGCCGCTTCCGAGACGGCAACGTCGCAGAGGACAATGGATCCGAAAATTCCGGCGCGGTTAGTTTTTCTCCCGCGAGGCATTCCACCGCCGTTGGAATTTTCCCGTCTACAAAACCGCACCGAATTCTTCGATTTTTATCGACGGCTCGCGTGAAGAAGAACCCGTTCCGACGCGGCGGTGCCGTCTCGTACCCCCTCCGCGTTTGGCGCGGAGCGCTCCGGGTCGCGGCGTCGGAGAAGTCGTCACTCGTTACGGCCCCCTTGTTTTCGCAGCTGCCGTCCGTCGCGTACGGCTGCCAAACGCGCGCGTGTTGCGTAACGAGCGGCCCTCCGGGCGATTTAGGCGAACGCGAGGAGTGCCCGTGTGTGTGTGTGTGTGTGTGGCAGTTTCGCGCGTGCCTTTTGGCACCGGTCTACAGTTATTTTTACGCGGTCGCGTATTTACGCGCTCCAGAGGTCGTTGGGCCCTCCGCGAATACCTGCGGCACGCGCGTCGACGAACTTAACGCTTCGGAGATGGCGAATGCGACACCGTCCCCGTCGCCGATCGCGGAATTTTTTATATCCACGTGCACCAGGTGGTCGCCCGCCCGGATTAAACATCACCGAGTCGACGGAAATGGCGAATGCGGCACCATTCCCGTCGGCGATCGCGCGATTTTTTTATATCCAGGCGATCCAAGTGGTCGCTCGCCCTAATTGCAGATAATTAAGCTAGAGCTTCGGAGATGGTGATTTCGGCACCATCCCCAACGCCGTTCGCGGGATTTTTTTATATCCAGGTGCACCAGGTGGTCGCCCGCACGGATTCCACATTACCGAGCGGGAGCTTCGGAGATGGCGATTTCGGCACCATCCCCGTCGCCGATTGCGGGATTTTTTATGTCCAGGTCGCAAATGGGGCACCTTCCCCGTCGCCGATCGTACAATTATCGCTTTAGAAACGTGGGGCTCGAAGACCCGCGGCCGCCGCCAAACGTTCTCGCGGCGGAATCGCTGACGTCACCGTTGTTACTATGCGTGGCCGGCGGACGCGCGCCGACCCGTCCGCGGGCGGCGTCGCGGTCGCCTCCGGACTCACCTGAAATCGGCCGCCCCGAGGTCGTGGTGTGGACGTCGTGGTCGTCGTCGCGGCGGACACAAAAATCACGCGAAACTGTGGTTCGAACGTCGTCAATCCGGCAGCGCCGCGTCTCGACTGAGAGGTCCGTGCGTGCGTACGTTCGGCCTACTACGACCCGCGGGTGGGGATTACTATGAGCAGCGGACCGAATCGAGGCGGACTCCGCGCGCCTCTGCGTCGCGCCGATTACTCGTCAGGTCGACTCGGGTAAGAAAGTTCAAGCCCGGCGTAGGAGAGCCCGTCCGCGTAGTAGTAGGCCGAGAAAATTACGGCGTCGCCCGTCTCTTTCTATCACTGCGTCGAACGCCTGTTCGGCTTCAATGAATTCCGGTAGCGGCCAACATGGCGCGGCGTTCGGGTCCGCGTCGGGCGTTCTCGGTGACGCGCGGGACGGGCGGCGAGCGGCCAGAACCCGCGGGAACCAAAATCTTCGAAGTCAAGGTCGCGGCTATTTTTAGACGCCCGGCAACGCCGAAAACATTCCGCATCGATTGATTTTGTTTTCGTCCGTCGCGGGGTGGAAAACGCGACGGAAACGAGCATCGAGAGTGACACTGTCACTCGAAGCGGAAACGTAATTCTCTGTCGCTTTGCGAGGCGGACAATGGCGCTCGCTGACGATTCAATTGGCCCCGATTACGAGCCCCATTGTACTCCAATGTACCGGACGAAAACAAGCCTCGGTGCGTGCGAACTCTCGCCGCCATTTTGGCCGCTAATTAAGGCGACGCGGCCCGGCGAGCACGTTCCCGCACGCGCGCAGGATGTGACTCACTTTTCGCCGACGATCGCAATCGCGTAAATAACGACGACGGGCTCGCCGCACAAAGGCGACTGAAATATTTACGGGACGCTGAATTCCCAAAAACGGTCACCTGTTGCGCCTGACGGATTCTCTCGAGTGGGCCTAACAAAAGGGGCCGTTAAATCGTCCGGGGGACTGGCGCCGGCATTGACAATGGGCGAACAATGGGACAATTCGGACGTCGAGGGATGCCCGTCTCCGCATTGTACCTCGAATTCCTTCACGTTACGAGTTCCATCGTTATTTACCGACGTCGGCGCGAAGCGCCGCCTCGAGTGTGAGTCGAGAGATGGCGCCACGGTAACGAATAATCGCGTCGCTTCATCTGGTGTTATAAACAAACTAAAATTAACAAAAATAGGTATCTTTGAATAATGGGCTGTTCTTTTCTAAAATTTTAATGCGATTTCAATTTTTTCGTACTTGTTATCCCGATAACTACTTAGGGAACTTTTACTTTTTGATTTGATTTGATTGATTGATCCAAAGTGTTATATTTGACAACCGTATCCTCAAAATAGTCGCAGCTGATGTATTGGAAAAAGATATTGATAAATCATATTGCTTATTGAATAAATTTAAAAATCATCAATAATTATAGCTGTGAGAAGAATTGGGCACACGGTTTTATTAACCTTTCATGATCGCCGTATGCGATTTTCCGAGTAAAAGGTATCTAAATACAATTTTACTATGGCCGCAATGAGAACCTTTAATCCGTTTGGCTCTTTGATTAATTAAAATGCAACTGAACCTTTTAAGCTGAGTCACTGTAAATATTAACAGATGTATTTTAAAAACATTGTAATGTAAACAAATCGTAATTATTCTCTATCGAGGAAAATTCTTTATCCGAACGCACCGATACGATTTGGACAAATGAACATTTGAACAAATTTACAGTTATCTTGTGCAAAACCGTGCAGGAAGCAAAATTTTCGGCGATTAAGACGCCGCCAGGGAGATTCGGTACTAAAATTCCACGCGAAAATCGTTTACAAATAGAAACGTGGCTAGAAAGTGCCTCGCCTCTGGCTAAACGAGAGATTCAATAGCATTACGCGTTGCACTGCAATCTACCGACGTCGGCGCGAAGCGCCGCCTCGATTGACGGCCGATAGATGGCGCCACGGTATGGAAAAATCGCGCTTCGTCTGGTGTTTCATTTGTAATTTGTTGTATTATGTCATATTCGATGCGACAAGTTTGGAGATTAAGACGCCACGGAGATGCGATACGAAAATAGAAAAACGTCAGAATAATGCCTCGTTCGCATTTCGCGTTTCACCGCAATCTACCGGGGTATAAACAGAGCGCTGCTTCGAGAGTCGGTCGAAAGATCGCGCCACGACCTAAAACAACTTTATTGCAGTGAACCGGTCAAATGGCCAGAGGTCGAGTGGCCCCACGAACTTGGCCTCAACGGGTGAAAGAACAAACGACTGAGAAAGCTCACTTGCGTCTAGAAGCGACAATTGCATCGCTTCGTCTGGTGTTATTTCGCGAAAGGTGGGGCGGAACTGACACGACTCGCTATCGAAAAGGTGTTTATTTCTCCGCATAGTCTTTAAACAAAGATGGAAAAGATGCAACGCACATCGATTAAGTAACACTTATATATATATATCGGGCGAGAGATTGTCTTTTTCGAAAAGAACGACGTCTCGACAAAAACACCCAGTAGTTTGACTACGCCAACAACTATATATTCCTAAACAACGAGCCAACATTAGAGACGCTTTTTAAACGCAAATATTTCAATAAGGAAAACGACCAACGTTCGATAAATACTTTGTTTAAGAGAGAAAAAAAAACTCGAGCGAAACGTAGATATGGTAGGCCTCGCCTAGAACTCGCGTCATCACAGCAAACGCCGCGTCGGGCGGATTTCGCGTAAAAAATATCGACTTTTGGTACGCGTCGTCAATCGAAAACGGCCGTCCAGCACGTTAAAAAGTTGAGCAGCGCCCTCTCGCACGCGCCGTCGCATTTCGCGCCGTTCTGTCCGTCCAACGAGACCACCCGCGGCTTCAGGTTGCCCGGCTTCCGCTCCTGCGAGCCCTTGTAGGGCAGCTCCTCCGTGGCGGACCTTTTCCGCCCCTTTTCCCGCCTGCGGATGTGTTCGAGGATCCGGTTGGTTTCGGTTTCGTCGAGGATGCCGCTCCGGTCGGGGCCCTTGACGCCGTCGACGGTGCGCGTCAAGAACTCTCGCTTCGTCATCAGGCCGTACCTGCGGAAAAAACGTTTTTCTTTACTGGAAACACTTCGAAGAAACCATAAACGTTTGAGCGCCATCTAACCACGAGTCTAAGAAACTTCACCGCTCATTGGAAGGTTGCCGCCATCTACGGGCGTTGATGTGAAGTTTAGCTTCACGGGATCGCCGCTAGGAATACGGAGAGAATTTCGAAATTCCATTGTTTTTATTTTTTTCTTTAAACAACGTTTGGAGCGCATACTTAATTTTAATAATACAGAAGAACGTGTAAATTTAATGTACGGTCGCAAAGAGTGGAGATGATTGAGAAGAGAATCGAGTTATTTATGGATTACAATCCAGATGATGATGGTGTGGTCCACATATCGAAGCCAGACTAGGTTTAACAATTGCCGTATCTATAGAGTGAGTTTCAAACCATTTCATGTATATATTCACCAATACTGAAAAGCCCATCGGTAGGCCACAAAACTATCTTCGATTTCAAAGTAAGATTTATTCAGGCGCTCCATCTAGGAGCGGAAGAGAAGTACCGTCTCCACATGCTCCACATTCCTCAATCTGGCCTCGACAATGTCTGACTCAGTTTTAAGGTTTTTTAAATATCTACCAAAATCCTTGGCGTTCCTTACAAATGAAGGATTTGAAACTGCCTATTACTGGTGTGGTACATTATCTTTCTGGATTTTTGGAAGTGCTTTGGTACAATGCAGAGTTAACGAATTTCTTAGTAGCAGTGCTCGATACATTCTTCCCTCAATTGTCCTAGTAGGATCAGTGGAAAGTAGCCTATATTTGCCCTTAGCAAGTATCTCTTCGATTTTGTGGTCTTATTCCTGCACATCCATGAAGACTGTGGCTTTGTCAATGGGAGTTTTTGATGGCCGGTCGTACCTGTCGTCCTCATTCTCCTCTTCTCCAAAACAAAACTTTTTATCGCAGTTCATCTAGTAGTTGTGTGTGTGTAGAAGTAGTGCTTTTTTTATTTCCTTAAAACTCTGTCGGATATCATTAAAAAGGACCAATTTAATTTGAGTTCGTACAAGAATCGTAAACCTAATAGGATTCCGTAAGCGAATTCCTCTAACGGTTTTTATTTATTATTTTGTGTTCTTTGAACAATTAAAATAATTTAAACTAGTGTGTAGTGCGCTTATGTTTGTGTTAATTGTATTTCTGTAAAAAAAATTGTACAAAACAGTGTTTTTAAGCTTTAACAAATACTTTAAAATTGTATGTGCTCGAGTGGCGAGAACTGGGAAAAACAGTATTTTTAACCTTAAACAAAGATTTCAAAGACTTCATTCCAAAGTGCTAAAAAAGAAGCTCGGCAGGTATTGTCTCAGCTTTTAGCAACAGCATCGAATGCCACAAGTGAAATTCTCGAGAAAAATCCGTCTCCAGAACCCATGCCAGAAGTAAGAGGGAAATATAACGTTAGTCTAAAAAGAAAATCTTTGCAAGATGATACCTGCAGAAAAAAAAATAGAAAGTACGGTAAAATTGTAAAATAAAGATTTAAGTATATGTAGTAATATGTATTTTTTATATTATATACATACGACGGTACATATAAATACATATTATTATTTACCTACCACCTGTAAATAGTTGTTACGTATGCCTAATATATTTTTTGTTTTTTAATATATTCTTAAATATATCCAAAAATAGGGATTTCTAGTTTATAAGTATTTGTTGATTTTTGTATATTTAAAATGGTAGAATGCCGTAAATCAAAGTTTTACAAGTAAATCGTTTTGTTCGCTAGATTTATGTATTTGTGTTTAACAATATTTAATTAATATATGTATTTCACATATATGCCACAATGCGGTTTGTACAAAATAACAGATCCCAAAATAAAACCCATACTGTTTTAGCACAACTTAATCTTAATTTGTTACGTAACGCAGTAAAAAACGTAAGAAACAACGTGCGGATTTATTATTTTCTTCTCGGTTACTTTTCGCGGTTGGGCAACACTGCTATGGTCATTCGCCCATTATCGACGGCCGTCTCAAATCGGCATATAAACAGGACCCTAACCCCAAACTGTTGTGAGCTTGCACAAAAAGTTTTCCGACGCGTGTGGCAAAGACAGCGAGACCGGTAACACTTAAACACTTAAAAATCCAGAACGGTATCAAAGCTTTTGGGACAAATACGATGGATTTATGCTTCTCATATAAAAATGAAAGTTTTACGGAACGGTTGTTTACCAGATCGCCGCTAGATGGCGCTACCAAATACGTCGGCAAAAAAAATACCTGGGCGCGTATACCAGGTCCCTGAGCACCGCCTTGATGTTGATGAGCTGCGTCTGGAGCGTCCTCCGTTTGCACTCGTGCATGCACCAGCGCATCGTCGCGCTGTAGACGACCAACTCGCTAGACACCTGCAGGGTGTCTCTGGTGACGATGGCCAGCAGGTCCTCGTAACCGAGGTCCACGATCTCCTTTTGTTTGAGCACGTGGTCGCCGTGCTTGTCGATTTCGAGGAGGCAGTTGTGGCGCACGCCGTCGACGAGTTCCGCGACCCATCCTTCGGGGACGGCGTCGTCGATCTCGACGGCGGGCGGCGCCGACGGCTCGAAATCGTCGCCGTCGGGGTTCTTGCGGCGCCCGCCGATACCGACGAGGATCTGGAGCGCGTTGCCCTCGCGCACATGACCGTTGAGGCTCGCGATGCACTGCCTCGCGAGGTGCGCGTTGCGGATCTTGACGGCGGTGTCGAAGAGCTCGAGGGCGACCGCCGGATTGTCGATCGTTAACGGGTCCGCCGCCGTCGAACTAAATAGATGCGTTTTTGCGACCACGCGGACAACGAGACACCTGGCGGCTCACCTGGAGACGTTCTGGGAAGCGTCGTCGGCGAACTGGCACCCCCCGAAGGTTTTCGCGTCGTCCGAGCCGTGCCGACCGAGGATCGGTTCTGTTTCATCGCTGGTCACCTGCACCATGGCTTCGCACGACCTGCGGCAGCGGAAAGTACTATGTTTAATCTCCGGGCTTTTGCTTTTGCTTTAAAGCAGGAGCGCTCAACCCTACCCCCCTAATTCCCTCGATAGTTTCGCACCCTCTTCGCCCTTCTTCCACTTCCAACAAAAAACACTTCATATCATATCTTAAGATATAAGGGGTTGCTCTATCTAACTTAGTTTAGGTTTATTAGTAATCATTCTTATTTCGTGTGTAATACAACGTGTGTTGAATCGTGTGCGAATTATGCAAAATATGTGCGAGTCCGAGATACACTTATCTCAGGAGATGCTCCCGCCCAAATGTAGAAAACACTATTCTATTGAGATTGAGGAATTTATAAACAATGTTTATTTGACTCTCATTGAACGTGGTGCCAGCAAGCAAGCATCTTGGAAGTGTATTAACATATAGAAAAAGCAGAACAATCGTATATCCATATATTGCAAATAATAATTAGAACAGGCGATGACAGTGATATTATGTGAATAATTTTAAGTAATTTAAGTAAGTAATAAAAATAATTTGTAATTTTATTTTAGATTTTAACATAAATACATACATAAATAAATAAATACTGTTTAGTATCTTTCCTAACAAAACCCCAAATAATTAAATTCTAATCAAAGTACGGACCTGTTTGGCCATATTTCATTCTCACAACTTGCCCGGGCCTTTCCTAAATTCGTATCAGTCTGTTTCAGGACTTTCTTATATCTATGAACAGGCTTAGTGGAATATCACTTCTATCGGTTTTTTCCAAAATATTCGAAAAGTGTTTTGACGTGCGGCTCGATGCATTCCTAAAGAAGGAGCAATTTTTCTCGAATTCTCAGTTTGGTTTTCGCTATTCAAGACTGTTCAGTTTCCTTATATAATCGAACCTGGATCTGAATTATAAAACATTACGTATGTTCTTTGACTTCAAGCGAGCTTTCGATGTGCTTGATATCAATTTATTAATATATTTATTATATATTATTGATTAATAAGTGAGGTATAAACGGGAATAGTTACGCTCGGATTGAGTCGTTTTTGAAGGGTCGTGACCAAAGAGTTGTGCTTAGAAGTGATTACATCCTCATCTAAAGAACTCACCAGCGGTGTCCCACAGGGAAGCATACTGGGACCTTTATGATTTATAATTAAAAACATGATCGAATAATGTTGGGGAAGTCTCGTGGTCCCAAAATTAAACATTTTAACGTTAAATAGCATAATTTACATAAAGAGTAATCCATCTAATTATGGCATGGCCAGAATTGATGGAGATTACAATTTTAGAGCCAATCTTAATTTGCAGGGCCTTCTATTGTTCCATATTACTATTACATTTATCGATCATACTATATTTATAACTTCCTAATTAGTTTTCAATTTAAACATTTAAGAGGTTCAGAGCTAATTATTGCTTATAAATCAATACAAGAGGAAAGTATGAAATTTGCCTTTTTTTACTTTACCTACTCTTTTCTGCTGTTTTTATTGCCGTTTTTAGTTATTTAGGATTGGCAGCACCGCGCACGGCCGACCTGATCCGCCATTTGCAACGCCGGCGTGCGTCCCGGCCAACTGAGCGCAATATTGGTTGCCTATCGTCGCGCGGCCGCGCAAACATTTCGACACCGTCCGCTAACGCGTTCCACAAACGGCGGCTCGTTAGCGCCTTTAAAAACGGCGCTAATTGAAATCGCGCGCGCGCGCGCGCCCCGGGCCACGCGTTTTCGAAAAACCGACGGCCTCTCTAAAATTAGCGAAAATTCCTGCGCGTTTATAAATAGACGTTCGGACGCGTTCCGATTCGCGTGCCAAACGCGGTAGCGCGGCCTACTACGATAAAACGGCGGGGCCGTCCCTCTTATCGCTCCCTTTCGCGAGAGATAAGCGATCGAAGGTCGGCCCGGCGTTTGCCGCCGAAACGCGACGATCCCTCGAGCCCCCGGATTACTTATTAATTTGTTGTTCCGGAATTTCGCCTAATCTCGAGTTTTGACGCCGCCGAGCCGTAATTATTGTATTGCGAAGCCACCGAAGCCGCTATCTCTTATCTCGATCGCTCTGCATTTAAACGGAGATTAAAACCCGATTCGTAGACGTCGCTCGGTGGTCGTTAAAACGGCTTTACTCGAACCGAGTTCAGTTAAACCGAGTTTAATTAATGCAGTTTGTTTACGCCTTAAGCCAAGTTTTCAAATTTTAACTTAAACCCACGTTAATTAAACGGCCTTGAACTAAGTTTAAATAAACCGCATTTAGTAATAATAATAATAATAATAGACGAAGTTAACTTAAAATCCGACTACTTAAAACGAGATTACTTGCGCAAATCCCGGTTTAAATAAATGATAACTTATCCGCTTCAATTTACGCCACATGTTTCCTTAAACCGAGTTTAATTACAGTTTTGGGTCGGGGTTAGCTAAACCACACCCGTTCAAACCAAGTTTACTGAAATCGAATTTTCTTCAACCCCGTTTCGTAGAACTGCATTTAAATCAAGTTTACTTAAACCCAGGTTAATTAAACGGGCTTAAACGGCGTTCAGATAAGCTACATTTAGTAATAATAAGACGTTTTTTATTAGCTACTTTTTTAACGTTATTATTCGATGTAGTCTTAAACCCGAGTTACTTAAACCTTACTTAAATTTTACTTAGCTTACTTAAATCGAATTTTGTTAAACCGCGTTTAGTTAATCAGGTTTACATGGAATACATTTAAGCCCAGCTTATTTAATCTCTATTTTAATATAGTTTATTTTAGTTAAACCGCATTTCAATCTGGTTCACTTAAACTCAGGTTAATATCAAGCTGGCTTAAACTGCGTTTAGATAAACCGCATTTAGTAATATTAATTATTATTCGATATAGTTAACTTAAACTCGATTCAGTTAAATCAAGTTTACGTTATAAGTTAAACCGGCCCAAACTGGGTTAAACCGGTTCTAGTGATGACGCGGTTTAGTTAAACCGGGTTTAACCATGCTAGCTTAATCGTTCGGTTCAGCCACGCCACGCTTAAACCGGGTTTAGTTAAATCGGTTTTCTTTAAATCGCGTTTCCTACGAGCGGAAGTTTCTTTATTCCTTCTCTATTAGACGCAGTTAACTTAAACCCGGTTTAGTTGCGCAAAACTCCTGGAACGACACCCGTTTAAACCGGGCTTACCCGGGCCGCTTTCAAATCCGGTTTATGCCGAATTAAGCCTAGCTTAATTAGTGAAAGAGGGACGGTTTAGTTTAGTTTAGAACTTAAACTCGTTTTACTGAAACCGGGATTAGTTGGCTGCTTGGTTAAACCCGTTTTATACGGAACCGGGTTTATTCCCACCAAGTCGTAGTTAAAAGTGAAACCGGGCTTAAACGAATCCACTAAAACCCGCATGGGCCTAATTCGGGTTTAAGTGCGCCTCATTTAACCGTAATAAGAACACTAGGAAGTCAAGCAAGTTACAAACGTCTTATTTTTATTATCGAGTGAAGTTAACTTAAACCAAACTTAATTAATTCCGCCGTTCGAGTCGAGTAAGGGTCACTTAACTAAGGATAAAAACGTAGGAGTTAGGGGAAGCCCTGGCGAGCCACTTGAAGCCTTTAAACCCGCATGTACCACAATTGCCACCGAATCGGCCGCCCCTCTGCGCGCCCCCGCTTATTTACTTTTACCTATGGTCCATGGCGACGGTCTCGACACTACTGCGGGAGCGAACGAGGGGGCCATCGGCGCGCGGGGCTCTTTACGACCTGCATAAACAAAGAGCCCGCCTGTTCGATAAACAAAACCGCGAAAAATATGACTAACGCGCGTCCATTAGCGCGTTTTTAAGGTCCGCCACGGAATTAACGACAACAAGGGGGGAACGCGGGGCCCGGTATCGACCGCCCCGTGACCTACATCGCCGGGAATACTATAATGGGAGTTGAGCTCGCCAGGGGTTGGCCCAACGACCTTGGCCGAACGCGTAGACGGACAAAAAGCGGCGGTAACGCGATCGAACGTCGGCCAAATGTCAAAAAAAAATCAATCTCGGCGTGAAATTCGGTTTTAATGAGCCGCGGATGACGGGGACGGTTTCGCGCGCGCGTGTGTGTACTTGCCTGATGGGTTGGATCTTCGCGCCCCCTGCCCGCGACCCGTCCGCGACGCGCTATCGCCGACACTGGCCCGCAGTTTCGCGTTTCGTTTTTCGGGGTGCCGGGAGGTGCGCGCGCGTCGCTCCCGATCGGCGATTTTCGCGCCCTCCCGAACGCGTGTCATTTATAGCTTGCTTAAACGCGGTAATTGGGGCGTTGAAAAAAAAAACAGGTCGGCCGACCACTTTTTCAATAATCGCGCGCGTCACCTAATTAGGAACGCCCTTTGCGCCGCAGGCGTGATTTAAAAACGATTTCGTTCAACGAGAAACGTTTTTTTTTTTCGCGCGGCGGCGCCATCTGTGAAGCGATGGCGGAACTGCTTTCCGTGTCCGGCCACCTGGTGAAATTTTACCGTCGTCCATGAAAATTGATTCGACTTTTCGTTGATAGGCGGCTCTGCGCAAACAACACAACGAAAACAAATCGGTAATTGGTAAATAGTAGGTAATTTTCTAATGGGATTCGTCGCCTAATTGCGGCCGCCCTTATTCGAAAACGATTTCGTTGGAAGTGAAACGCGATTCGATTTTGCGCGAGCGCGGCACCATCTGTGACGCGGTAGCCGGAGCTGGTCGGCGGGAACGAATGCGGTAATATTAAATACTGAACACAGTCATTTAACGTCACAATCTTCTTATTTCTCTAATAGGTAAATGTATAACGCCTATTTTGAAATCTTTAAAGACAGAGGAAAAATAACACAATTCTGTTAGTTTTGGTTAGTGTAGATAAAATATCATATCGTTTAGTTTAGTTTTCGCCAGCACGGTATTTGTTTGTTTTTTCTACATTCGATGTTTACATTATTTCTTTTAACGAACGTGAGTCGAAATCCTGGAGTTCGGGACTAGTTTTTGATGAAAGGTTAAAAGTAGGTCGCTTGACCACGGGCACTAGCTATTAGACGGTTAGACGAAAAAGATGCAAAAGACGCAGGTAACGCGGAAATCCGTGCCGCTTTCTCTTTTTCTGTAAAAAGACAAAACACGGATCGTAGACTAATTATTATTGTTTGTATACGAAGTGACGACGAAGTTTTTTGTACGAGGTACACTATAAATGAGAGAAAATATAGTTTTGTTTAATATGCCACAACGTCGGACTGTATTTATTTCCTCATAAACTTAGACTAATGATAAACAAACCTTTAGTTTCGATGTAATATGACTGCAGCATAATGTTGTTTAAATGCGCTTTACAGTATAATTTGTTCCGTCATATGCAGTTTGCAAAAGTTGGTAATAGATGACGCTACTTATCTTCAAAAATAGCAACAGCGCCAAGAACTATTCACTATTTGTACGAGTAACGTTAGGTGAAACGCACATTTTAACTTTTACTTTATTTAATAAATAAAAATAAAAATATTTCGAAACCGAAATATTTTTTCGATGAATATATTTAACAAATTCGGTCTTCCGCATCAAAAAAACTTAAAAAATTCATCTTCTTAATACTTTTTCATTTTCGTTTTATTTTTTTGCTGCTATAACCATTCTACCATATTTTTCTGATAATTACATTGTAAATTAACGATTTGAAAACGATTTCGTTCGCCTGGTTATGCGGTCCGCGGCGCCATCTGTTTGTCAAGATCGACGTAGGTCGTGCGCCATTCATACTTTCTGTAATCTGTAGTTGATGATGGTTTCGCGAAGGATCGGTCATTCCTTCTCTATTCTTTAGCGCTTTACCGTGATGAACGGGTTTGATGGTGCTGTGCGTTTGCGTGCATTTCATGTGACTAAATCCAGGGCCCTTTGTTGTGTGCGTTTTATTCCATTATAACGAACGAAAGAACATCATAGGCGGGGAAATGCACCGCCTGCTTTGTTGTTGTTTGCTGTTCGTAAATTTTCCAACACCTAGTTGTTCGATAAATCGCAAATTTTTATGACCACGGGATTGATAAATATATATGTTTTCCGACCATTTAGATAGCGAAGGGAACCATTTTTTAAAGCATTATTAAGTGCAGGGAGGTGGAGCAGAAAATGGTACTTTTGGTGAAAGTTTTGGTATAATTTCAATTTTTGACAGTTTTCACTTCGTCAATTTTGAAGTGATGAAATCAACTCTTGTGATTTAAGCTAATTATTAAATTACTATAAAACTTTAATGTCTCCTTAGAAGATATTATATAGGTTTGTAACCTCCAAACGGTGTTTAGTTTTCGGTTTCCAATAAATCCTGGGACGATAAAATTAACTAAAAAAAAACACCTCCACTATATTCTCGACGTGATTTAATCTAATATATGAGAATATTTAATTTCGTAGATAAAATATCTTTTCTCAAAGGCACAATGAATCGACGCTTATGCCTTCCTCCGACAAAAATTAATTCGAATGACCATGACGTCATCACTCCACCTCTGACAGCTACGTGTTCTAATCTTGTATTGTTTTTTGTCGTTAACTGAGCGATTCTGTTTGCGTTCACTGTAGAGCAGGGTTTTCACAGCAAAGGCGCAAAGGTGGGAAACTGTTGAATTTGCTCGTTTGTTCTATGATGCTTATTGCTTGTTGTTATCGTCAAATACAGTAAAAACCAAATATTTGACATTGATACTGGTTAAATTGTTTATCAACAAGGGACACCCGACTTCTGCAATTTTTTCAATTACATTGACTTGTTCAATATCCTGCTTTGATGGTGGTGTGCATTTGCGTGCTTTTTACGTGATTAAATCCAGCGCGTTTTGTTGTGTGCGTTTTATTCCATTAAAAGAACTAAAGGATACTAAAACTATCGATAGTGGTCGCGGTAGGTGGAGCAATAATCGACATCAAAGGCGGCGAAATGCACGGCCCGCTTTGTTGATGTTTGCCGATAGTAAATTTTCCGTCGTATTTCAGAATAGCAAACTTTTGTGACGACAGGATAATTTTTTAACGCAATATTATTAAGTGCAGGGAGGTGGAGTACAAAAAAGTACCTTTATTAATTTTATTACGGAATGTTCGGTGCATATGATTTTAACTGTCGGAACTGTTAGGTGCGGGAGAGTAAGAGTTTAAATTTTCGGGTAAAATCGTGTAATCTCTTGTGATTTAAACTTAAATATCTCCTTGGAGATCTTTTATAGGCTTGTAACCTCCAAACGGTCTTTAGTTTTTTCGGTTTGCGTTAAGGTTTAATCTAAAATATGCGTTCTCCGTAAAGGTTCTACATCGTAACGCAGGATTTTCACAGCAAACCTGCAAAAGTGGGAAACTGTTGAATTTGCTCATTTGTTCCATGACGGTTGTTGATATTGTAACATAAAGTAACACTCAAATATTTGCCGAGCGGTTTTGTTTACAAATTAATTTATTAATACAGGGAATTTTTTATATTAAACTGTTTATTATCAACAAGGGGCACCTCACTTCTGCAATTTTTTCAATTACATTGACTTCTTCAATATCATTGGAGGTATAAATATTAAGTTATTACTCATTACTAATAAAACTGGATCGCACAAATAATCAAACAAAAAACCAGTTCTGTTCGGAGAATGCATAAATAATAACAAACCAAAATAGCCAAAAACATAGTGGTTTTCGTCACAGACCATTAAAGCTAATTTTTTTCATTCAGTTGGGCCACTCGTCTATGGCCACTCGCCCATTGCCCAACAAACGATTCAAATTGCTCCTTCTGTAACCGATGTGTTTAACAATCTTGAAGGAAAAGCGCAAGAGGCGGGTTGCGAAATAACACAACTCGTAGCTTCGGCGCGTGCGCCGTAATATAATGTTCAACTGGGGGATACAATAGGGGGCAATTCTAACCTAACAAATAATAATATAAACAGTAATAAAATATATGTCGCTATTTACAACCGTCCGTCTTTGGTCAAACCGTAGGGGGCCACGCCCCTACGACGTCAGCAGGTCGGGCCGCTTCTTGTCCGACTTCCTCGCCTCGCTGGGGTTTGTCGAGCCCGTCGTCGCCGTCACCGTCGGCAGCGTGTCCGCCGCGGCCGCTCTCTCCGCCAGGAACCGCTCGAAGTCGCTGCTCGTCACCGACTCCTCGGGCCCGCTCTAGTAAAAAAAAAAAAAGGCGTGAGCGCCTGCGCGCGCGGGGGGCGGGGCCTCACCGTGCTCCCGAGCCAGTTGGCCATCTCGTCAAACTCCCGGTCCTCTACCTACGACACACGTAAAGCTTTGGAAAAAAGAAAGAGAAGAGGAAAGAGAGGAGAAAAAAAAAACAACAACAAAACAAAAGAACAGCGACGCAAAACAAACGACAATTTTAGGGGCGGAGCGCCGCACTGGCGTGACTCACCGCGGGTCGCGAGTTCGCGAGGCTGCTGAGGCCGCCCGCCACCTGATCGGGCTCCAGGTTGTCCCTGTAGGTGCTACCGCTCCGCTTGGAACTCTCGTAGGTCGCGGTCCGCGACTGCGCGAACATGTCGAACTCTTCGTCGCGCCGTCCGTCACCCCCTTCCGCCACCACTGACATATACACTCATATCAATAACTATGTCGCGCTATAACTATAATATTGAAAAAATGAACTCGTTTTACATATGTGGGAAAAATTACTCAGAAGCGAACTCGGAATCAAAGTTACATAGCGACTGGTTGTGCGTAATTAAACTCAAGTTAAATTTAAATCATGGTATTAGGGAGTAAATAAAATTGTAATGTATTTTTGGACAATAATCTTAAGATTTATATTGACAGTATCTGGGAGCAGTTCTAGATTCTCGATTAAATGTCGATTGTAATTGTCTTGTTTTCAATGCGATTATCAGCCCTCATTTTTGCTGGAATAGTGATGAGTTACACTCCCATTCTTCTTGGGTTTTTATGGTGGTTGTCGGTGTCTCAGAATATTGAGTTCTATAATGTTCCGCTGACATATAAAATAAAAAATAAATTACTTCCATCTTACTTACAACATTATTTAATTCCAAGGTCAAACAAACTCTCTTATAATGTTAGGGGTAAAAATGGTTTGTTAAAACTCTACAAATGCAAAATGCTCTACCGACGGAGAGCAAAAATTTACCGAATGAAAAAAGGTTCCAAAAAATTAACGTGCGTGCGTGCGTAATAGCATGTATGCATGTAGGGACCACCTAAAAATTTACACGGAATTTCCCATGGCAATGCATCACCCGGTATAAATGTGACAACAAAACGGAAATTAGCACTTTCCGCCGTGTTCCGTGGGGGGTTGTCAATGGTCCCGAGAGTGGTAGGTAGTTGATCCGCATGCGCATGATAGTGTTTGAAATTAGAATCACAATTCATTGCCAGCAGTCCTAGAAAATGGCTGAAGTTGGTGGGCAGTGAGAACTTACTGAGGGTCTAAGTCTGAGTCAACTTTCCGCTACATTTTTAGGTCCAAAATATTAAAAGCCGTCACCAAATGGTATCAAACGAAATAAAGGTACCATTAAGGAAATTTTATGCACTAACAAATACGCCTGGACAGTTTACTATTTTTTTTCCAACATTCTCCATTTTTAATAACAATTATACAGGGTGTTTACTAATCGCATGTCAATAATTAAGGGCGTGATTTTTGGGTTCATTTTAAAATGAAACTTTTGCGGCAAGTTAGAAAATAAAATATACTTCCTTATATCATTTTAGATATAATCATTGTTTAGGGTTTACCGAGGATATTAAAAAAAGTTTAATTAAAATTTTAGTTAAAATAAATGATGAATGATTCAAGACTTTATTTAAAAAAAAAAAGAAACAAAGAAAGAAAACTTTTGAGGCAATCGGTCTCGAGGAAAATCTCACGGTTTGCTCAAATGGTCAAGTTTTTTAATTAATGTTCTTCCGCACATCAGGTGTACCGCAAGGTTCCGTCCTTGGACCTATATTATTCCTAATTTATATTTCTGATATTTACACATCCACCTAATAATTAAATTTGCATTCATTTGGTAATTAGATCCTAAATTATTTGATGTAGTTTCAATTTATATCAATTTGAATTTGCATAACTTATTTCTATATTCTTCTAGGGATAATCTGCAACTTATTAAAATAATAAAATAATTATTTACCCATTTTCACATAGTTCTTGACTTGACCTTAAGTAATTTATATCAAAATCATCTGATCTGTCCATATAAACATTAAATATCACTGTCACGCGTAAAGAAACGACCGCGCCGTCCACTCACCGAGCTTCGATACCGCGTCCGCGACGTCGTCGTCGAAGTCGATCAGGCTGTCGCCCGCCGCCGGGGGCGTCGCCCTAGCGGACGTCGACGGCGGTATGGCGGCGGCGACTAGAGCCGACGGCGTCGCTCCCCTGTTCTTCTCCCACCGACCGTAGCGCAGGAACAGGTTGTTCATGTCGTCATTGATGCGCAGCAGCTCCTCCGTCAGCGAGTCGTTGGCGATCTTACCGATCAGGTCCACCAGGCGGCGCTGCATGCCGTCGCACGTGACCCGCAACTCCTGCGCAACATCTTCTAATATTTCCAACCGCTTAAGCGTTGCTTTAAGCATTAACAACGACAAGATTGCTTTCGAAAAATCGTCACCGGGCGGGGCAAGTTCGTAGCGCGTAACGGCTGTTTATTATAAAAGGAATTGTTTTTCTATTGTGCTCCCGCGGACCAGTATGGAACTTTCGCAAAATCGATGTAATTTAATTGTGCATGCACCCTGTATAAAACATCTCGTCGAACTTGAAAGTTACAGCAAATATCGGGAAATATTAAAATTTGCACAAATAATAACGTTGTCGAATGATATTGTTTCAAATACCTCGCGCCCTGTATAATTGGCGAAACCTGAAACTCTCTCCCGACACGGTTTACGATACTGCTCAAATAAAATTATCCCATCTTTAACGGTTTTTCATTTATCGCCAATAATTCACAAACAAAAACAGAAATTTTTATATTTTATATTTCCACACCCTGTATATGATGCAATCATTGTTCGGAGTAGAGGTTATAGCCCTGGATTTTCCACGCGTCCCAATAAAACGAAATGTCCCCAAATCCCAAAAATCGGGTGTCTACAGGTTGAAATGCGGATCTTGTTCTAAAGTTTATATTGAACCAATAGGTAGATCCTTCAAAAAACGCATTAACGAATATCAACGTTACTGTAGTGTTTAGCATATTTGTTCTTCACAGATAACCGTAATTGGGTTGCAAATAATTTTAAATTTTTTCCTCATTTTTCGTTTTACAACAAATTTCTTCTCCATCCGGTTAATTCGTTCTAGCCCCTTTGTGCAGTGTTAAAGATTTAGGGGTTAACATTTGAGTTTTTATTACTTTAAAAGGTATTATTTTCAGCGTGACGCATTACGTAAAACCGCTATGACAGTACTTTAGTACTTGGACACAAATAATAGATGGCATTCGTAACAGTATACGCGACCTTCACCTCTACCTTATTCTCTTTGTCTAAAGCTTTGAATTTTTTCTGTTCTTGGTGATTTTGTCGTGCATAGAACCAACATTTTACGAGTCTGTTCCTTGGATTTTACGAAGATCTTTCAACGATGGGCGAGTGTCCATAGTATACGTGCCCAATAAAATCATGAAGACTTACAATGCATATCTCATGCGTTACTCATGGTGGCATTAAAAAAATATATTTCCTCATAGAATCATTCCTTTTTCTAATTCGACTGTGGAACAATTGTTGCCGGTATTTTATTATGCAATTTAACATCAAAAAAGTGAACCGACGATTGAGTTGTGTTTAACAGTTCGGCTTATAATGATAGAAACGGTGGATGTATCCTAAAAGGAAGGTGGAGGTGGGCGTAATGACTCGGATTTTAAACACAATAACCTACGATTTATCCATAAATGACGAGAAGGATAACAATAATCATATGCGAATGAAAATACGTTTTTAAAACCAAACCAAAATAGCTAGATTTTATATAGGCACGTTGGAATAATTGGCCTCCGCAAATGCATAGGTATGGTCTGTTCATAGATATAAGAAAGTGACCAATTGCTTTTGAATAAATGCCAACAACATTATTAAGTTTTGGATTTTAAATTCAGGTAAAATTGTGGTCCGTAATTGAAAATAATTTTATACCTACCTGCGTTTAATATTCTTTGGTTTGGTATACTACTTATTAGTAATAATTCTTATTTCGTGTGCAATACAGCGTGTGTTGAATCGTGTGCGAATTATGCAAAATATGTGCGAGTCTAGTGTATCTCAGGAGATGCTCCCGCCCAAATGTAGAAAACACTATTCTATTCTATTGAGACTAAGGAAGTTATAAACAATGTTTATTTGACTCTCAATGAACGTGGTACCAGCAAGCAAGCATCTTTAGCAGGAACGGCCACACTGGATGGAAAATTGTGAATAATCCCATTTCAGCGAGGAAAAAAAGGAGCGATGCTGACATTTTCTCGAGTATGGATGAATTTTAGATTTAAACATAAATACATACATAAATAAATATATACTGTTTAGTATCTATCCTAACAAAACCCCAAATAAATTCTAAGCAAAGTACGGACCTGTTCGGCCATATTTCATTCTCACAGCTTGCCCGGGTCTTTCCTTAATTCGTATCAGTTAGTCACTTTCTTATATTTATGAACAGACTTTAGCTATCAAAATACAAGGCGTCAATATCCCTCGATCGATTTTATTGAAATTTGATTATGTGGGTTGGTGAGACAAGAGGCCCACTTGGGATTAATTAAATTAAAATTACGTGGCGTCCCTATGGAGTATTTGAGTATTTTTGACATGAAAAATGCGCGTCGCACATGATTCAACACACGCTGTATTACACACGAAATAAGAATGATTACTAATAAACTTAAACTAAGTAGTATACCAAACCAAAGAATATGAAACACAGGTAGGTATAAAATTATTTTCTATTACGCACCACAATTTTACCTGAATTTAAATTCCAAAACTTTAGGTAATAATCTTGTTGCATTGTATGTTAATGACCGCCCTTGGATAATCCCATTCAAAAGCAATTGGTCACTTTCTTATATCTATGAACAGACCATACCTTAATCGCAAGTGATTTTAAACTTGCGAGAGGGGGCCCAAAACTAAACTGCCGCGCACTGACCTTAAGGAGCGCCACCTCGTCGGGGTGCTCGCGTCCCGGCTCCGCCTCGCCCAGCATCTCGCCCAGTACGCACATGTTGCTCTGCACCACGTCCAGCTCGGACTGGAGCTTCGCCCTCTGTTCGGGCGTCAGCACGCCCTGAGACGCGGCCGCAGGCGGCGGCGGCGACGACGACGGCTCCGCCGGGGGCGGCGCCCCTACGACGCTCTTCCGCGGCGTGTGTATCGGCGCCATGGAGTCCAAGTCGGTGGGCGGGAACTCGATGCCTTTGGCGAGGAGGTCCTTGTAGACGGCGGCGACGCCCGCGAGGTCCGGGTCGCTTTGGAACGCGCCCGCCCAGGACTGGATCAGGCTGAGCACCTTCTCTTGCACGGCGGTCGGCGGGTCGTTTTTGGGGCTCAGCAGTTTGACCAGTTCCTGGACGAAATCTTTGCCGCAGGCGAGCGCGTGGAAGCGCTTGCCGCAGTTCTTCACGCACGTCTCGAGGATCGTCAGCGTGTACATGATGACCGTGTAATTTTTGCCCGCGTTCTGCGACAGCCGCTTCCGGATCGCCCTGATCGCGTCCTTCGGGCCCTCCTCCGTCTCGTTGATGATGTCGCAGATCTCCATGTTCAGGGCCCAGTTTTCCGACGCGAGGCTGCCGTCGGTCGCTTGCTCTGCGCACACACGACCATAAAAAATGACGCGTGACTAAGCGGGCGACAGAGGAAGCGCAAAAACAAACAACGGACGTGTACCCGTCGCAACACCCACCCCGCAAGCGACACGGACCTCTTCGCCGCGCGGTACTCACCTATTTTGCTACCGACGGGCGTCGAGAACGGGTTGCCGATGAGCGCGTTCTGCAAGAACGACATTTTTTCCACCGGATTGTCTCGTTCGATCCGTACGCGCGCATCCGTACGTTCCGGATTTCTTTCCAGACTGGCCTCGACGACACCTGTCAAAACTACGCGTTCGGTCGGTCGATCGAGGTGGTGCCGCTCGCTAAAACTTAAATGGATCGCCGATAGATGGCGCCGCCAGTAATTCTGAAATACGCCCGTGTGTCGGGCGAGATCGATAACGCCGGACGTCGGACGCGTCGCGTTTGGTAAAAATTCATCTTAGCACGGAAAAATCTCGGTCCGTTGATTGCGCGGAGACGATCCTAGGAAACGGACCAATCGCGTCGTCACACGAGTGTTGCCACGTTTCGGACGGGCCCGTTTGACATTCGGAGTGCGTCGCCGTTGTCTTTTCTGTCCGGTTCATCGTCGAGTCAAGAAGTGTGAAAAAAAAAGAAAACGCAATCATGAGGTTCTTGTACGGCGCGGGGCTCCTGTTTGCGCTCGCGGGGGCCGTCCTCTGCGACGACATCAAGAGCGAAGAAGGCGTGCTCGTCCTCAACAAGGACAACTTCGAGAAGGCGACCGCAGACAATGAGTTCATCCTCGTCGAGTTTTGTAAGTTTTGACTTGCTGCCGCAAAGGTCGTGCACGTCTGTTTCCGTAAACAATTTTCACGTGGAATGCATTTTCGAAAAACTCTCGGGAGAGAGATCAACGCACCCGACGTTGCCGGTTTTTCGAAACAAATTGCGTCACTGCCGCAAAATTTACAAGGGGCCGTTTTTCGCGTATCCTTCGTAATGTAATGTTCGTTTTGAAGGCGAGTGTGACTTATTTGTTGGGCCCCCCGTTTAGACGCGCCGTGGTGCGGCCACTGCAAGGCGCTCGCCCCAGAATACGAGAAAGCGGCCAAGACTCTGGCCGAAAAGGAGTCACCCATCAAGCTGGCCAAGGTCGACGCCACCGAGGAGCAAGAACTGGCGGAGCGTTTCGGCGTCAGGGGCTACCCCACCCTCAAGTTCTTCCGCAACGGCACCCCCTTGGAGTACAGCGGTAAGTTTGCCTAGCCACTCTATTCGCGAACGATTCACATGAAATCTTTAACAGTAACTGTCAAGTCTCCGGGAATGACTCGCAGGAGCTCATAAATAATGTCTCTGTTGCGGTTGAACAGTTTAATAAATTTTCCATAATCATAAGTTTACAAAAAACAGTTGTGGTTGGATTTACTGGCTGGTAGTCAGAGCACAAGATTTCTTGGCTCCTACGTTGATACGCCATCGAGGTGTGATCAAGACATAAATAGTGTTGTCTTTTACAAAACTTATGGATTCCTCCTGCTTCAGTTTTTGCTTAGTCGAAATTTGTGACATTTCGCCAATCATCCTGTTAGCGTCTTCTAAGCTTGACTGACAGTTTCGGTCAAGCTTAATGTTATTTTTTGTGACGAAACATCCATTGTAATGAGTTTTGTGAATAAATGAATAACTGATCTATCATTGGGATAAATATTAAACATATACTTTCGGTAAAATGCCAGTAATAATAGTCAATACAATCGTTATATCAATTTGCGCTACTTTTTTTTTCCATTTCGAATAGTCTCCATTAAGTGTCTGATAATTAAATATTATCTAGATCGAGACTTATATTCGCTTCGTATTAAATGCTCAGACTTTTACGTCATATCTACAATCAGAGAACAATTGGGGAGCGTGTTATGCAAAAAACTTCCAAGCCGCAAATGAAATAAGAAAATGTGCAGCCGACGCATACAAAACTGAATACGTGAAAACAATAGCAATAGTGCAAGTGTCATCTTACTTTGCGGTATAAAAGGTTTTTATTTATTTATTTATTTATTTGGCTTGGTAGGATTTTGCAAAATGCAAAAAAATATAAAATTCAAAAGAAATAGGAAGTACCAACAAACACAATTTATATGCAAGTGCACTTGTATCTTTAGATTACTCTAAAGCCTTTGAGTTACTATGGCTTCGATAACAGATATCAGGTATATTGACCCAAAACTTCAGTGGGACTCCCAAAGAGGTTTTGTTGCTCAGAAACCGACCAAAAATCCGCATCTACTGCATGACCATCAGAGGTCGGGACACGATGCGGTTATTACCTACTGCCGCTTGGAGAGGTGGTGTTGGTATTAAAGGGGGGCGCCCTCGCGGGGGTCCAAGCACTTAGGTCACCAGATGGGCCCGTTGTGCCCCCAGGCCGCTCTAGCGGGCGTCCAGAATGCCGCCCCTCTTATAGAAGGTCAGCAAGTCCTTGGAGAGGTGTCAGACTGTGTCAAGTGTGTTACAGAGCGTAATAAGAAGTCTTAAGAGCCGATACAGGAAAACATTTTAATGGAAATGATCAAGTCCGAAGACAAATTTTCCATTAATATGCTTGATGCAGTCAGTAAAGTTTGGAAAGACAGCAGAAACAATTCAACACTCCCATCGTCATGCAGGTCTTATTACAGAGACAGAATGCGAATTGGACTTGGAAGATGATCAGCCACTAAGCGATTTCATTCATTTGCATAGATCAGGATTTGCCTATAACAGCAGACTTGACAGAGGAAGCCATGTTACAACAAGCAAGAAAGGGTGAGGAAGAGCACCAAGGGGAGGAAGAAGATGAAGAAGTTGATCTGGGATCACCACCAACCATTCAACAAGCCCTATATTCAGTAAGCTGCTAGAGAAACTTTTTATGTATCATGGGGAAGATGCCCCTCTCGAAGAAATCGTGAAAATACCAGCGAAAGTACGAGACGCATATTAGTGTACTAAAAAAATTCCAAAGAAAATGACCTATTATTTGAAACGTTAAATGTAGTTCTTAAATATTAACATAAAATGTTCCAAAGTAGATGTTAAAATATGTATATAAAATAATTAAATATTATAGAACACATATGCGTATTGTTATTCTTCAAGTGCCTATAATTCATTATAACGAAAAAAAGAAGCAGTCCCTTCAATTTCGCTATATAGAGTTTCGACTGTATTTTAATGATAATGTACCAAGTACCAAGACTTATGTAAATCATCTGTGATAGTAACATTAATAGAGCATTCGTATACGTATTTGAGGAGCTCCGAAGTGTACGGGACCGAGTGTGGAGCCTCGGGGCACCCCAGAAAGCGCTTGAAATACCCCATGATGATGATACTGAACGTGTTGGAGTATAATTTTCGAAACGCCAATGCCTTTTTTTCTCTCTCTCCCTGGCAGGCGGCAGACAGGCGCTCGACATAGTCGCGTGGCTCGTTAAAAAAACGGGCCCGCCCGCCGCGGACCTCAAGAGCGTCGGCGACGTCGCCGCCCTAATCGACGCCAACCCCATCGCCGTGGTCGGCTTCTTCAAGGACCAATCGACGGATCTGGCGAAGCAGTTCTTGGCCGTCGCGGCGTCCGTCGACGACGTGCCGTTCGGCGTCGTCGCCGACGACGACGTCGTCGCCAATTACGAGGCGGCCGACCAGCAGATCGTGCTGTTTAAAAAGTTCGACGAGGGGCGCGCCACTTACGACGGCCCGGCCGTCGAGAAGGACATCAAGAAGTTCGTCCAGGTCAATCAGCTGCCGCTGCTGGTCGAGTTCAACCACGAGACCGCACAGAAGGTGTTCGGTGGCGAGATCAAGTCCCACCTGCTGCTCTTCCTCAACAAAAACGACGAGGAGGCGTACGCGCGCGTCACCGAAGCGGCCCGCTCGGTGGCCGCACCGTTCCGCGAGCAGGTCCTCTTCGTCAGCATCGACGCCAACGAGGAGGACCACCAGCGCATCCTCGAGTTCTTCGGCATGAAGAAGGACGAGGTTCCCGCAGCGCGGCTCATCAAACTCGAGGAGGACATGGCCAAGTACAAGCCCGATTTCGTCGACCTCACCGCCGACAACCTGAAGAAATTCGTGGGCGACTTCCTCGACGGCAAACTCAAGCAGCACCTGCTCAGCCAGGACCTGCCCGCGGATTGGGACGCGAAACCGCTGAAGACGCTGGTCGCGAGCAACTTCGACGATGTCGCCTTCGACGAGGCCAAGGACGTCCTGGTGGAGTTTTACGCCCCGTGGTGCGGCCACTGCAAGCAGCTCGCCCCCATTTACGAGCAAGTGGCGGAGCATTTCAAAGACAACGCGGGCGTGGCGATCGCGCAGATGGATTCGACCGCCAACGAGCTGGAGACTATCAAGGTGACGAGTTTCCCCACGATAAAACTGTTCAAGAAGGGCGACAACCACGCGGTCGACTACAACGGCCCCAGGACCTTCGACGGCATCGTCAAGTTCGTGGAGAGCGGAGGAAAGGACGGCGCGGACGCGGACGAACCCCTGGAGGACACGGACGAGGAGGCGCCAGCGAAAGACGAGTTGTAAGAGAGAGAGGAGTTGTAGGTTAGGTCTTCCGGCGACCGCGAAGGGTCGAGATATTTTTTTATTCACGTTTTGCAAGGTTAGTGCGCGAGCGAGCGGCCAGTTTTGGCGTTTATTTGGAACGTTTGTGTTATTGGAAATCGCGTAAGGAAATAAAAATTTAAAGGAAGTTAAAGTGTCTCTGTTATCGCGCCTCCCTACACGACGTTCAGGACAACATTTAAAACCTACTTCGCCTTTTTGCTATCCAGACCTTTCACAAAAACTCAAAATATACGATGCCGGTTGCTCCCGAGGTTATACTTTTAAACGCGTAAAGAAATAAAAATTTGAAGTTAAAGTGACTCTGTTATCGCGCTCTCTGCGCGACGTCCGAACTTCGACAATTGAAACCTAGCTCGCCTGTTTGCTACAAAAACCTAAAATATATAATGCCGGTTGACGCACAGGTTATGCTTTACAACTGGGCTGGCTCAAACGCTCGGCATTTTACTAATTTATTAAATTCAATTAAATAAAACTGGTGCTCCGCGGCAGAACCCGTCAGCAGCATCAAACGAGGAACGGAGACCACTACCACACGCACACAATAGAGAGAAAATTCAATTCGCTCTCAGCTGGACAAGTGCGCTGTGGTGATACGTCCATTTTCGGGCACCCGCCAAGGATTTTTCTTTTGGAACCTGACCAATACGTAAAAAGAAGAAATATAACCAATATTTGTTTTCACCTAGCAAAAAATAATTTTGACTGATACCAAAAAAAAAATCGTCTTCCTCCGCGGCCTTCAACCGGCGTGAACACTTTAAAACCATCACGAAACAAATATCACACAAAAAAAGAACCGATAACACAGTTTTTTTGGAGGAATACAAAGCATTCTGCAGGGAGCAAACGGAGGTTTATTCGCTATGTGCAATGTTCACCACAGAATCCACACAGAATAGCGAAGCAAGGTTCTTCTTCTTATCGCATCTTGATCAAAATTTCCAAGGTGAATAAGGGAGACAAACATACGATTTTTTTCCACTGCCTTTTGTAAAATACCCAGTTATACACCGGAAGGTGTCAGTTTAACACGTCAGTTTCGTTTCCCATGGATCGGAGCCGCTTCAGACATTTCTGGGATATCACCGCATGAGTTTGAGTATTTGCTACTGTTGTGCAAAAATGTACCCAGAAACCAATGGTCATAGAATAAATATAGCTAACCTTTTAAAGTCACTCCCCTAGCAACAAATAAACTCATAACTTAAATGCCGTTTACCGCACTTATATACTATTATGGTCGTTCTCTTATAGCTGTGTGGCCTTGCTGCTCTATAAAACAAAATTGCCCGTTAAATGGTGCGCTTAGTTCCTTATCGACGATCTGTCAGCGACCATTTTGGTGGTCTAATGCCGCAAGGTCGGAAACGAGAGAAAATCAAGTCGATCCATGAGTTTCGTCGAAATTCCAATAATTAAAAAACAATGATACTGATATTGCGTACTGAACTGAACGCAATTTTATAGCGAGACAGCGTTAACAAAGGGTAAAAATTTCATCATGAGCCTATAAATAGTTCTTCGTTTCAATTGAGGACACAGAAAGATTAGTGGTCTGTGCCGCGGATGATAAAGCGCTCAGCTGACTTTTCAAACTTGATCGTCGTCCGCGAGGGGACGCCACGCCTCACGTCTCGCGTCGAAAACAGCTGATCCGACGACAACATTCGAACGCGTGATGGACGGGAACGCGAGGCAGATCCCGGTATTCGCGTTCCCCAACTGCCTCAAGTTTTTTCTCGGCTCGAGGACCACCCACACGCAAGTGCTGAGCCTGTATAGCCCGTACGACTTTCCCGTACGCTTCAAAGGTCTGTACGCTTTGAAAATCCGTCTCAGACCCACGTAGTAACCCCGTTACAGTGCACTGTCACGCGAACGCTTGGGACAAGTACACCGTGACGAACCCCGAGGGCGTCATAGGACCCCAGTCGACCGTCGACCTCGTCGTGACGCACAAGGCACCGTTGCCGCATCACTGCAACGTCGTCGACCGCTTCAAGATCGTCATTTTCGACAAGGAAACGGACCAAACGATCGGAAAAAAGTACGTCGAGTCGGTCCTGCTGTCTGGCGAAAAAGACGGCAGGTCGCAGGACGACGATTTCGAGTTCCACAGCAGCGAGAGCGGCAGCAGGGCGGCGCCGAGCGTCGCGCCCAGACCCGTGGACAGGCCCGCCAACAACATAGTCGCGTCTTTGGTGGTGGCGGCGTGTGCAGCCGTACTTTTCCTGCCCGCCGATCCCGAACCTGCTCGGATTTCGAGCCTGCCCACGTATCTTCACGTGTCGCACAAGACGCAGCTCCTCGCCGCCTTGCTGCTCGGCGTTTTCCTGTGCGTTTTGGTTAGGAATTGACGCCCGTGACGTCATTTGGACGGGCTAGTTCTGCGGTCTGTGATTGCGCTCTCTTTCAGTCGTCTGGTTTTCCATGTCGTGCGGTGGACGATTTAAATAAAGGGTATTTTTACAGGTTGTTTTCATTTCGGCGCGGTTATCTCGGCCCTCGGGCGCATTATCTCGCCAACAACGCCGCTATAGAACGCGGCAAAGCGCTTTGGCTAGGCCGGCCGAGTTCTCCGGTCTGTGATCGCGCTATCTTTCTGTCGTCTCGTTTTCCGCGTCGTGCCGTGGAAGATGTAAATAAATGGCGTTTTTACAGCTTGTTTTCATTTCGGCGCAGTTATCTCGGCCCTCGGGCGCATTATCTCGCGAAAAACATCGTTATCGGGCGCGGCAAAACAAATATTTTTCGATTGCGGGCTGAACTTGAGCATATTCGAGTTGGACCGAGGAATAAGTAACATTCTGCCAATTTTATGGACACAGTGGCTCAAAGAACCGTTCAATGTTATCAACTAGATGGCGCCGCATAATCTTTTCCATCAATATAAAACTGAAAAATTGATTTTTCATCGTGCTTACCACGATAATTGCTTAAAATTTGAAAACATCCCCATCACTTCGAGAGCAAATTGAGGTTAGGGCTAGTCTGGTTAAGCCACAGATGTTCTTGATAAAATTATTCTTTAGTGTGACGGAAAATTTAGCAAGAGGGGCGTGAGTGACGTTTAAACACCACGGAAGGCGAGAGAAAATCGTGTTCCCGAGAGCGAGGACGAAACATTACCGTAGCTATTGTAACCATATTAAATAAGGCACGAGAGGAAAAATCAGAAGAATAAATAATTAAACGGCCTGTGAATCGATAACGAAAATATGTTTTTAATTTTTATTTTATCGCAACACAAACGCCAATCTACTTATTCGATTTTGTGGATTCAAGTGTGAAAATCTGTGTATCGCGATCTTTATCTGTTGTTACATCGAATCTATCGTTCAAGTGCTTTGATAAAATTCAAAATACATTAAATGTAATTAAGGAGCACATAAACTTTTGCAAGATCCCTTGGAACTTCTCTGAATAAAGCGCTTATTGACCCTAAAAAATATTACAAATGTAATAAGTCAACAACCGTCATTTTGATGAAAAATATATAACGGGGTTAATAAAAAAAAGTTAAGCGTTATATAACAGATTTTTTGGTGCATAATTTAAAAAAAATGCGAGAACAAATAAACATTTTGTTAGTTTAACGTGTCCTTCTCGTTTGCCCAATGCTGACGTTCCTGTTTCTTATGATACCTGGTGCCAGATCTTGTACAGGCAGTACCCTAAAATTTTAGTAAACAAAATTGGGATAAGCATATAGATCACTCTAATCAACAAACTTCACACACTTTCAGCGGTTTCTCATGTTCGTAGAATTTCCATTATTTACCCTCGCTTACGTCATTCTACAAACAATTCAATGTTTCCATGACCTCACCATGTATCTCACGTATTTTTCACCTAACACACACTTCAAGTATTTTTTTTCATTAATTTCTGATACTACGACTTTATTTTCTCTAAATCCTAATAATGCAAACTGCATCCGGCGCCTTTGGGAAATTTACCATAGATAATGCTAAGCATAAACTCAGAAAACGAGTATGGCCGCCTATTAAACACGAATTGATTTGTTTTCAAACCCTCAAAATGGAAAGGCGCGCGTGAAATTGTGATTAAAACTCCCCCGCGTTGACGCGAACGACTGTCCAATCTAACATGAATAAAATACGAAGAAAATTTTTTTGGGGTCATTCTGTGCGTAACGTATTAACAGGCAACATTGCCGAGACATTTGCGTCACGTTCAAAACGGAAGCGACTCGATTATATGTCGGCTTTGAGGCTGGGGTGGATCGATCGGTCGCAGGGAGACGTTTGCGCGCGAAATCTTTCGGGGTAGGCGCGCGTCCGTCGCGATCCCGCCAGTCGTGCGGCGGACCCGTCGACGAAGCTGAGACGGCCTTGGGAGGCGAGCATTGCAGGTTAGGCAACACGCATTTCGCGCGATAAACGTACGAACGTTCGCAGATAACGGGGCCGTATAAAATCGACGCGCCGCGCCGTTTTCCGATCATGTTGCCCAAATTAATTGCGGGCGTGTTATCGGTCGCTCTCGTCTCTTACCTAGTGAAGATTTACGTGAGTAAAGGGCACCGCGGTTAGGTTAAAGATCATAGCGGTTAAGGGCGCGGCGTTGCCAATTCGTGCGCGATCGCTCGCCCGATATCGGGCTCGTGTTCTTGTCCGCGATAGGTCGCTGTCACTGTTTTCCGTTTTCAGAAACCCGGCAACATGGCGCCCAACTACAAGCTGATCTATTTCGACGCGCCCGGCAGGGCCGAAACCATCCGGTACATATTCGCCGTCGCGGGCGTCGAATACGAGGACTACCGTTTCCCCAAGGAGAAGTGGCCGGAACTGAAGAAGGGTAAGGCGGCGAGGAAGAGAGAGAGAAAAAAATAAATTAAAAACGCCGCCACGTTGTAGAGATGCCGTTCGGAAAGGTTCCCGTGCTCGAAATCGATGGCCGCCAGGTGGCGCAGAGCAACGCGATTGCCCGTTACTTGGCGAAGCAGTTCGGTTTGGCGGGCAAGAGTGACTGGGAGGCGTTGCAGAGCGACGTGCTCGTCGACACCCTCGAGGACCTCAAAATGAGTAAGTGACGTCATTCAAAATGGCCGCTGACAACGCCGGCTGTCAGTTGTCGACAACCGCTGCGATGTTGTTCTAGACGTACGTGAAATGTTTAAAAAGAAATTGGCCGCGAGGAATGTGCAACGTGCAGCTATATAGCTGTAAGATTATGTAGTGACCATACCAGGAAGAGAGGGTATGGATCTTTTGCGCATGCGTTACCGATGTTCCACTGTACAAGAATTACAGGAAATATAAGAAAGCAATTAAGCTGCGCGTTTAATTTTTACTAGAACAAGCATTTAGTGTCTATTAATTGTTTCTTGAATATTTTTTCACTTAGATTTGCGATATCTAGCATCTCAAAGTTATTTCAATGGAGGTTAAGCCTGTGAGTTTATGAAAACTAACGCTTTGCGTCGATTTACAAAAAAAAATTGCATACATAAAAAAATATGTGTAGAAATTCCATAACTCCTTAACTCCTTTTTTGCCAGAAAATTTAATAGGATTTCGACTCATTTTGAGAAAATTCTGCCGTAAAAATGACGATCTGTCAGCGGCCATGTTGTTTGTTCAAAGCCGCAAGGTCTTATGGGTCCGACTTCAGAATTTGGTATTGGTCAAAAACGAAATTTTCAAAAAAATTTACACAGTTATGTTATATGGTTTTTTCACTTCCTAGCCCCACACGCCGTCTCAAAATGGCGAATAACGGTTCGACGGACTCGTAGCATTTGGTGGTTATGGTTGATCGATTTGTTGGTTTTGAAGGCTGCGGTCTTTCAGTTGGGACTCAGTTTCACAGTAAAATAAAAGTTTGACGAGAGTTAGCGTCAACAGTTGCTGAAATTTGAGATCCGTAACGGTTTTTTTTATAAAACTAAAAAAAACCAACGAACATAATTCATCAATACTCCTTAAGTCCATATAATTTCAAAAGGTAAACTCTGTTCATAGATATAAGAAAGTGAGTAACTGATACGAATTAAGGAAAGACCCGGGCAAACTGTAAGAATGAAATATGGCCGAACAGGTTTGTACTTTGCTTAGAATTTAATAAAATCTAAAATAAAATTACATTTTTATAACCTACTTAAATTACTTTAAATTATTCACATAATTAAAATTATAAATAAAAATAATAAAAATAATTAATTAAAACAGTATGGTCTAGATTTTTTGCATAATTATCATAGACGTATTCCTTTTGTAGGTTCAAGCTTTGTAGAATTTAAATTCCCAAATTTTAGGTAATAATCTTGTTGCATTGGTCACTTTCTTATATCTACGAACAGACCATGTCACCTTAAATAATTGCGGTGTCTGGCAAATAACCGTTGTTTAATTCAATGGTAAAGTCTATAGAGTGTAATGGTATGTAGGTCAATCTACGAATCATACCGTGAAAAGTGGCTAATGTAATGCAAATTTAATATTGCTGTGCCGCAGGCATGATGGGCCCGATGAGGGAGCAGGACCCGATCAGGAAAGAGGAGCAGAAGGTCAAAGTCATGAAGGAGGTCGTGCCGTACTACCTGTCCAAGTTCGAGAAGATCGTGTCGGAGAACGGCGGCTTCTCCGTCGGTTCCGAGGTGAGTCTGGCGTCACGTGCGCCATTTTTGCGTTAGGATAGCGAATGAAACGAGTGGACGGAATCGTTCTATCTATTTATTCGTACGTGGTGGCGCGCGTTACCTCGCGAAGACGACGGCCGCGAGGGCGGCGCCGAGGAGGGCGCAGGCGGGTAGGGTCGCGACGTTGCCGCCGCTGTCGTCGTCAGATACGAGGTTGCACATGTCGCCCTCGCAGGTGTAGCAACCCAACACGGTCGAGTTGGGGTACGACGTATTCTGGGCGATGTAGGCGGCGACGTCGTCGCAGGAGAAGGTGCCACACCCTTTTACCGTTACGTTCACGTGGTGCGACTCGGTCGCTGAAAACGACGCTTTGGAGGGTTTTTACGCGACGCTAACGCACTCACCTTCGTAGTGGAACGCGTACGAGTAACACCCCTCGGCGCAGGTGACGTTGTGCACCAGGTCCGGGTCGACTTCCTCGAATTGCGAGCACGCGGTGTTCTTCTCCAGGTAGGAGTCGCACCACGCGCACGCGTAACTTTCGGCGGAGGCGACGGGATAGGCGAGGACGACGCAAAGCGTCGCGACAGCGACAGCAAGCTTCGGAGACGCCATTTCTAAACTAGACTGGCGTCTTCGGCGCCGATCGGCCCCTTTTATCCCGCGAGATAAATCTTCTCGAGTGCGACCTCCGCGATAAGGCGCGTTCTCGAAAAAGCCCCACCGCCGTCATCTTCGCGCCACTCGAAATTTCATCTCGATGATTTCATACGTTTCCCGACCTCATCGCGTTATGACTGATAGATTAAACAGAGAAATTTGGCGAACCTGCTCGGTGAAATTAATAGGAATGAAATCGTTTAAAAATAATTAGTAATTCGAACGCCGTGAGTTGTCTCATCGTCACAGTGGAAATCGTTTTTCAAAATTCCGAAAAAATTTAGAAAACTCGTTTACTTTACTTCGCTTTCTTGGGCTCTCTTGAACATTAAAAATATTATAATTCTGTTGATACACTGTGTCTCAAAAGTGTGCCGGCCGACATCAGCTTTGTTATTTTAAATGTATTTGTTACTATTTTTGGAATCCTTGGTTAAAATAAGGGTCACTTTTTTAAGAAAGTTCTATTCGAATTTTGCATAGTTTAGGCAGAAATTGAGGTTATGTGTTTTTTTTTTTTTCATGTTTTGATTGCGCCATATAAAATTGTGTTGTGACGCTACTGATCCAGGTATTGCAACTAAAATTGAACTACAGACTAAGGAGATGATGGGCTACGCAATAAGTTTGACAGATACGCCTCAGCCTATACAGGGGGTCCCAAATAGCTGGTGCCGTTTTGGCGAATTCAATTAACAAAATCTCAAGATTTTCAAATTGAACACCCTATATTTTTTAAGATGATCCGCGTATAAATTGCCCACATTAGGTCACTTGCTGGTAATATTAGGTATTTTTTAAATAGCAAAGATACTATATTACTTCTTTAAAAAAAAGTTTAAAAAACACCTAAAATTGCCAACAAGTGACGTATTATTTATTCATGCGGGTGTTATCTTAAACCTCGAATATCTCAAGAAGTAAGAAAAATTTAAATATAAGATAAATTACAAACGTACCTTATTTTTTCTTCTAGAATTGATATCTGAGTAAAAATATAGGGTGTTCTATCTGAAAATCTTGAGAATTTGTTAATTGAATTCGCCAAAACGGCACCACCTATTTGGGACACCCCGTATAAGCTGAGACGCATCTGTCAAACGGATTGAATAGTGCATCATCTTCTGAGAATGTGGTTAAATTTTCGTCGCGATACCTGAATCAGTAGCGTCACAACACAATTTTGTATGGGGCAATCAAAATATGAAAAAAAAAAAAAACGAAACCTCAATTTCTGCCTAAACCATACAAAATTGAGGATGTTCCTCAAGTCTATTTAGCGTTAACAAGATAAATAAGAACTAAAAGTTCAGATTTTGACGAAATTATATATTTTCACATGACAATTGTTTTGACGACACCGTGTCGTGTCCTCAATGTTGTGAGAATTTAAGTTTAATAATGGAGAGGTATTTAAATCTAATTGATTTGATTGATTTTGATAATCTCCGTGGCTTCCGACAAATTTAATTTTCTACTTTTTGTGGCTGTATGTAAAATATCAAAATTGTCGTCAAAAATGTGTTTTTCTGTGTTTAAGTGTGTAGCATAATTAGAATCCATACTATTGTTTTTAAACGCTCTTTTATGCTCGTTAATGCGTTTCTTGAAGGATCTATCTGTTTGTACAATGTAAATTTTAGGACAAGATCAGCATGTTAACCTGATTTTTTCGGATTTTGGACATTTCGTTTTATTGTTTTTTTAAAAATTTTCCTTTTTTAAACCACATTTTGACAAATGTTTTGAAACTTTTTCTTATAACATAATTTGATTTTCAATGTTATTCTTTTTATTTCTACTTTTAATCTATACTACTATATTTAATTTATTTAGTTTCCAATTTAAACATTTAAGAGCTTAAGTGGGTTAGCTTTTGTTAGACTACGCCTCTGCTCTACTGTATATTTGTATATAACAATATACAACAATAATGGCTGCGTGCCTCGGCGTTTACGTCGACACTCAACAGCGGACGGTTCCCGGGTTCGATCCCCGGTAGGCGCGAAAAAAAGATGAGTCACGTAACCAAATGTGACGAATTTATTGAGTTGTTGCGAGAGGGGCTATGTATGCTTGGTGGAGAGGGGGGTGAGTGTTATTTAGATTTATTTGAAAGGTGGTTTAAAAACAAGGTAGTTCCAAACATCCCTCCTAATAGCGTCATTGTAATGGACAATGCAAGTTATATCACAGTAGACAGTTGACTAAATTATAATAATTTGTAATTTTATTAAAATTAATAATCAAATAATTAAATTCTAAGCAAAGTACGGACCTGTTGGGCCATATTTCATACTTTCAGCGTGCCCGCGTCTTTCCTTAATTCGTATCTGTTAGTCACTTTCTTATATCTAAGAACAGACTTTAGGTGCGTTGCTACTAAGAGCGGTATTGGATCGAATGACCTCGACCTAATATGAAGAACCTTAAATTTCCGTGTGGGAATTTACATGCAAAAACTTCCGAAAATGTTTGACAGATGTGAAAGTTTCAAAAGTTGTTTTTTTATTTTATCACAATTTTCATAATACCCTCTTATGATGGGTTACCCTGTTTTAGTTGACGTGGTCGGACCTGGCTTTCGCCGTATCGCTGGACTATTTCGAACAGGTGTACGGGGGCGACGCCCTGCGGCCGTACCCCGCGCTCAAGGGCCTCAAGGACAAGGTCCACGCGTTGCCCGCCATCGCGGACTGGATCGCCAAGAGGCCGCCGGCTCCCGCGAAACCCTAGTTTCGCACAACCTCCCCGAACCTTTCACGATTCAATGCAAGCCTAAAGTAACCAATCAAATTTAAAAAAAAAGTGGGTGTGTCGTGTAGGTCGTAGCGCGACGCTAGCGTTGTTGTTTCAATGTTGTTAGATTTATTTTAATAAACGGAAAGGAAAATTCGACCTGCCGTTTTGTTTTTACGAGGTATGTCGCTTATTAGTAACCAACTACGTTGACGTGTATATGACGAAAAAATGACGTGAAAATGTCACAGCCTACTTACGTATATTGAGAAACGACAAACGTCATATTAAGACGGAAATTTTACATCATTCTTTGTTGTTGTGTGACGTAGTTTAAACGGCCCTAATTAATGTAGTGTGGAGTCAAAAAAAAAAGACGAATATGTAATGAAAAATTTATTGAAAGTAAAAAACAAGATTTTAGACATAGTTAAAGAGCTGCGGCGGTCGAACGAGTGTAATACTGCAAACATGCAAGGACCGCTGTCATATCAATAATTTTATTGACAATCATTCCATGACAATCTGCTTGAGAACGTTAATAGTTACAGTGAAATTAAAAAAAAAAACACAGTTTTTTATACATTTCTGATGTTATGATAACCATTAACGTTCAATTTAAGGTTGTCCAATTAAGATAAGGTTACCATGTTATATTAGAAACTTTGGCCCATATAAATGAAGACAATGTTTTATAAAATGCTGTTCTGTACCAAATTTGCCTATTTGAATAGAAGATATACGTATTACAACAGCGCAACTCAGAAGAAGAAAATTCCCAATATTTCCTATTTTCGATCTTAGGGGACTGATTTATACACCCATAAGTGTAAAATATCCGCTAATTCAGTAGGTATTATTATATTATACATGATTGGTAATGGACTGAACAGATGCGGTTGATGTAGTTAACCTTGCTGAACTATATAGCGAATCCTGTTCTACATTCCAACCTAAAATATAAAAAAAAATAGTTTACTTCCATCCGAAGGAGTGTTTTATATTTTCATCTACAGATAATTCGATTCTCTCATCTTCAAAACTAAATACACTCGTCAATACGCATATGTGTTCCGTAATATTTAATTATTTTGTATACATATTTCAACATCTACAACATCTGTGTCAAATAATCGGTCATTTTTTTTTGAATTTTTTTAATATGCCAATACGCAACTCGTGCTTTGGCTTATATTTTCACCATTTTTTCGAGAGGAACACCTTCCTCATGATACATAAAAAATTTCTCTAAGGGCTCAACTCAATATAGGGCTCGTCGAATGGTTGGTGGTGGTCCCAGATCGACTTCTTCACCTTTTTCTTCCTCTTGGTGCTCTTCTTCACACTTTCTTGCTTGTTGTAATATGGCCTCCTCTGTTTAGTCTGCTGTTGTAGGCAAATCCTGATCTATCACCATAAAATATTGCAAACTGATCATCTTCCATGTCTTGTTCGCATTCTGTCTGGGTGATAAGTCCTGCATGATGATAGGAGTGTTGAATTGTTCCTGCTGTCACCTCTTTCCAAGCTTTACTAATAAAGTTGACTGCATCTAGCACGTTAATTGGAAATTTGTCTTCAGACTCGATCATTTCCATTAAAATGTTTTTCCTGTATCGACTCTTAAGACTTTTTAGTACGCCCTGGTCCATCGGGTGTAATACACTTGTTTGTACTGTTTCCTCCCCTTTAATTCCGCATCCCATTTCCGTACCTCCTCTTCAAAAATTTGCGAAGCCATTTTATCTGGTGTCATTTTGTAAAAGATACCAGTTTCGCCAGCATTAAAAATTGTGTACTACGTATTGCTTCAATACGGTAAGGTAGGTCGGATATTTTTTTAACTTATTGTCTTTTGTTAAGGAATTATCTCAACCCACTCAAACCAACCCACATACTCCCTCAAAAAGCGGATCGACTGCGTTTCGCCGCAGGATATCGAACTCACTAATTTACCCACAAAAACGGAAATGTTTAGGATATTTTAGATTTTTTGCCCTTAAACGACACACCCTGTATATGATACAATCATTGTTCGAAGTAGAGGTTATAGCCTTGGATTTTCCACGAGTCTTGGTTCAAGAAGTTTTTGAAAATAGTAAATGGTTTTTGAGAAAATAAGTGCGACGTAATAATCAATGACGTCATCGCCTCTTGACAGCCCCAGAAATAACGATTTCAATATGGAATTTTTCTGTGTGCTATAGACGAAAACCGCAAATACAAAAATTGTAGCTCTTGATGCGGCCTACGACGCCGTTTAAACCAATTAGCCATATGTTTTGCGATTTTTGATTTGCGGCTAAAAGAACATTTTGCCAGGTCTTTTAGCTTTTTGCCTATAATTTAAAAAAATATAATCGAAAATATGCCCGAAATAAATGTTATTGCACTGGATCTTCTGCGTCTGCCGGTTAAAGAATTTCGCCGATCGGGTGAACGGTTATGGAGGAAAACACGTTTTTCTGTAAGCTAAAATTACCAAAAAAAATTTCATAAATTTTATAAAAATACTTTTTGTTATTCGGGGTACCAATGAATTTGAGTATTTTAAGAAAGGTAATGTCTTTTTGGCATTGACTGTTTTAAGATTTCACCGTGGTTGACAAACACGACGTTTCGGAACCAAACGGGTATATTTCGAGAACTACCTACGAATAAGTTAAATACTTTACAACGGCATACAAAAACAAAAAACGATAAAGCTAAGATCACAGGCGTGCGTGGGCGTCGTCGCCGTCGTCAGGCGTCGCAGACCGAGCGTTTCCTGGACCGCACCGAAGAGCGGCCGCTGTTGATCATGCTCGACCTCGCTTCGCCCCTCACGGAAGCGCGGAGCGACGACCCGGTGGACGGGGCGCGTCGGAACTCGGCCGGGGGCGGTTCTTTCCTCTTGACACACGGAAAGTCCCACATTTTCTGGTCCAGGCCGAAGTTCTCGCCGTCCTGCAGCGTCTGCGGCAGCTCCTGGTCGAGCGTCTCGGGTAGAAAGAGGGCGAGGACGCCCCCGACCACGCCCAACACGCCGAGGATGAGCAGGGGCAGCGCGAGGTCGACGTTCGCCTGGATAAAATACATTTGGAACGTGTGGAGGTGTCGCCCTATGCACTAACGTCTAGCGCGGTGATGGGGAAACTGCGGCCCGCGGGCCAAGTCAACAACAATTATTTTAGTTGCGCTACGAAAGCCAGTTATGTGTTGGTTTATAACATTGCTAAATATAATAAAGCATTTTCAGATGGAGTATGCATAAAGCGGTGCGTGACAGAAAAAAGAAAAGAAAAATGATTTTCAGTCACTGTCTCTCTCAAGAGGAACAATCACCGAGAGAACTTTGATAAAAATCTAATTTCACAACTGACTACAAAAACTCAACAATTTATTTTGTATTCAATTACCATGGATGAAAGTACAGATATCAGCGATACTGCGCAGTTACTCATATTTGTAAGAATCCGGAAAATGATGTTGTTTTTTTGCATTGCCTTATACATCAGGATGCTCTCTGTAAATCGGCTTTAGATATTGACCATGTACTTAATATTGTTGTAAAACTAGTAAATATGATTCCTTCCAGAGGATTATTACATCGTCAGTTTCAACAGTTCTTGGAGTCCGTACATGCTGAGCATTCCGATATCCTGTGTTATTCAAAAGTTCGCTGGTTCAGTGCTGGAAAAGTATTTGAAAGAATTTGGGATTTAAAAGACGATATTGTGAATTTTCTTCTTGATATATCAATTTGACGTCGTTCTGATTTCGCTTTTTTCACAGACCTCTTCGTAAACATGAATAAACTTGATCTCAAATTGCAAGGGAAAAATCAGTTTCTTCGCGATATTTGACAATGCCTGAAGAGTTTCTAATCTCTAAATCTGATTTTTCTCATTTCCCAAGAAAATTTCACTATATCACACAATAAAATTAAAAAATGCGAAATTAATTTAAGAAAACTGTCTTCAGAATTTGAAAGGAGATTTCAGGACCGGGAACCAGAGTTTAGTATTTTTGCGACCAACTGAACTGTAATACTCTCCTGAAACAAACTTTTCATACAGTACCGTTACTACTATAATGGGTGTTTTTTTTCGATGTATAGAACTTAAAGTTGGAATTACTGTTCAAGATGGCGACCGATTTAACAGCTGTCAAGTGATTATTCTCAGTTTGGTTTGGCAATTCATCATGAATATACTCACGCCTGAACAACGTTTGTAAATAGTGCAATTTTATTTCGAAAATAATGGTTCTGTGCGGAATACGTATCGCGCACTACGTCCGTTTTATCGTCGACAAAATCGTCCATCAGAGCATTTAATTCGATTAACCGTGGAACGTTTTCGTACCACGTTTACTCTTATTGATAACTCGCATCCCAGAGACGCCGTACGGTGCGTATAGAAGAAGCTATTGCTGCTGTAGAGCGTAGCATTGAGGAAGACCCGAATGAGTCCATCCGCCATCGAGCACAGGAATTGGATCTGTGTCCATCCACTTTATGGAAGATTTTGCGGAAGGATCTTGGTTTACGTGCTTACAAAATCCAACTCGTGCAAGAATTGAAGCCAAACGATCATCAAGTAAGGCCTAGATTCGTCGAATGGGCCCAAAACGAGATTGCCGGTGTTCCCGATTTTCATAAGCGATGAAGCGCACTTCTGGTTGAATAGCTACGTCAACAAACAAAACTGCCGCATTTGGAGCGAAGCTAATCCTCAAGTGTATGTCGAAACACCGTTACATCCAGAAAAACACTGTTTGGTGCGCGTTATGGGCTGGTGGAATCATTGGTCCGTACTTCTTCAAAAACGATGACGGGCAGAACGTTACAGTCAATGGTGATCGCTATAGAGCCATGATTACTAACTCTTTCATTCCTGAATTGAATAACCATGATGTCCAGGAGATGTGATTTCAACAAGACGGCGCAACATGGCACACAGCTCGTGCCACAATCGATTTATTGAAAGACGTTTGGTGACCACTTAATTTCACGTTTTGGACCTGTGAATTGGCCTCCAAGATCTTGTGATTTAACACCGCTAGACTACTTTCTGTGGGGCTATGTATGATAAGCCACAAACGCTTGACCATTTGGAAGATAACATTCGCCGTGTTATTGCCGATATACGACCACAAATGTTGGAAGAAGTCATCGAAAATTGGACGTCCAGATTGGACTACATCCGCGCCAGCCGTGGCGGTCATACTCACGAGGTAGACGACGAAAGGCGCGACGATGCTGGCCACGTAGCCCATGATGTGGATGAGGGCGACGCCTTGCGCCCTCACGACCGTCGGCAGCAGCTCCGCAGCGTACTGCAGCCCGATGTTGTAGGAGATGTTGATCGCGAAGCGGCCGCAAATGGCGAGCGTCGCCGACGGCACACCTGGGCGCGGCGAAGGTCGTCATTTTTTTTGTTTTTTTTGCTACGTTTACACGCTTACCGAGTGGCACTACGGTCGCGAGCAGACTGAAGACGCCGCTGACGACCATGCTGCCGCAGCAGAGCCACCGGCGGCCCCACACGTCGAGCACGAGGGTGAGGAACGTGTCCGCGGGAAACTCGGTCGCGCTCGCCACCGTGAACGTGAGGAAGATGTCCAGGCCCAGGGTGCCGACGTTCCGCACGTGGCCGTCGAACACCAGCGAGATGGCCATCCAAAGCACGACGAGGATGAGCGTGATGCGGCGCAGGCGCGGCGTCTTGAATAGATCGAGCACCGTATAGTTCTCCTGGCACGCCTCCGCCTGCTGTACCCTCACGCAGCTCGCCTGCGCAAACGCCCAAGTCGCGTCAATGCCATTTATCAAGTTACCCGTGGATCGGATGATAGCTGTGGTATGTGGTCACGATTCGGATATAACAAGCGACAGGATATCCCTGTCTGTGATTCGTAGGTGCTTTGTGGTTCCGCAATGGGCGAGTGCCCAGAGTGGATTTGCCCACCAAAATCAAGCAGTGTTCTTGGGTTCTAAAGTTGTGAGTGTCTTTTTTATGGATATTTCTCGTATGTAGAGGTAAGTGCACTAATATCGGTATTTCGTATTCTTTCCAGTGCTCGATCAGACAAAGGTAAAGAAAGTGATTCGAGCGCTAGGAACCGATCGGAAGCTTTAATGTGGGGAAGACTCAAGTTACCAAAACAAAAAAAGTTAAAATATTTTATCGAGAATTTAGCAATTCTTAACCAGGCTGGGTTTTGCAAAGCACGAGACACTTCAGGGGCCATAATTGCTTCATAGCTTTCGATGTCTTCATAACATTATCTTTGAGACACAGTCTGTGGATATCTGGACACTCGAAGAGAAAAAATGTTGACATGCATACGAGATTTTTGTATCTGTGTTTTGCCCTAAAAGTCATTGTTTTTATTACTGGATAATGGGAAAGTTATTTTTTCTTGAAATAAATATTAATTTAAAATCGACATTATTAAATAAATAAATTAAATAAATAAACCGGAAATTATGGGAAAACAAAAATCTCAAATAAGAATCAAGAAGGATTGTGTTCAAAGAGGGGTCAGATTGATTTTTGAAGATAAATTGTCACAGTCGATTTGCTGTTTTGGTTAGTTTTGGTCTGTTGAAATTCCATCGCCATAGACCCTTATATTCAGAGAAAGTCTGTTGCTTCGGTGGGAGTTGTGTGCGAATGGTTTATCAAGATTCGCATTTATAATCTTTTAAACGTTCAAAATTACTATTGACGTGGATAATAAGGGAAACGGTCCCAGGAGACACGTTGGACTGAACAATTTTGTTGTTAGGACTGGTTTTATGTTTTTTTGGCATATACTTTTTACAAAACTGCCTGCTTTTTTTTATCTTTGACGGATCGAAGATGTTGAGAGATTTTTGGACAAGTGGTAAATCTGGTTTTGACGTTATATTTCTTTAGAACTTTTGATATGTGGTCAGTGATGTGTTGAATATAACGAAGGACAACAGTGGCAAGCGTGGCAAAGTATTACAGTAGCCTGTTAAAGGTATTGACCGACGAATTAGTGATATTAGTTACGAGTAGTAATTAGTCGAGGCACGAGTTGTTTAAGTCAAGGAATTAGTCGCTTTAGTCGAGGAATTAGTGGTGATGGTTGAGGTATTAGTTGTGTTAGTTAAGGAATTTGAGGTTCTAGTCGACGAATTAGTTGTATTCGTGACGTAATTAGAGGTATTGGACGAGGAATTATTAGTTGTATTAAGGAATTTAAGGTATTCCTCGAGAATTTAGTTGTATCAGTTAAGTAGTTTGAGGTATTAGGCGACAAATTAGTAGTGACAGTAGAGAAATTAGCTGTACTAGTTGCGTAATTTAAGGTATTAGACGAGGAAATATTAGTAATAGTCGAGGTATTAAATAATTTAAGGTATTAGTGAAGGAATTAATGATATTAGGTAAGGAATTTAACATCTTAGTTGATGAATTAGTACTAATAGTCGAATTATTAGTTGTAGCAGTCAGGGAATTAGTAGCAATAGTCGAGGTAAGAAACTGACCCTGAATTCTTCGTAAACCTTGGGCTCAACGTCCTTCCGGTTGACCCGCTCGAACTTGCGCAGGATCCCGATGGACTTGTCGAACTTGCCCTTGGAGGCCAACCACCTCGCCGATTCGGGAACGATCCAGGGCGTGAGAACGGCGAGGGCGAGGGGCGCGCTCGTGTAGTAACACAGCATCTTCCAGCCGTTGGAGTAGATCGCGATGTAGGGCAAGATGGACGCGGCGAACGTGAAGAATATCGCTATGGACATGTTCGCGACGAACGTCCGCCATTTCGGGCCGACGTACTCCAAAACTGACGTGACGGAAGGGTCAAGGGCGCGTAAAAAAAAACGGCCGTCGCCTTACCTAGGATGTACATCATCGTGAAGCAGTTATCGAAGGCCATGCCGACGAGGAAGCGGCACGCGGCGAAGCTCCAGAACGACGTGCAGAAGGTCGTGGCCATGCCGCCGAAGAAGCCGACCACGTTGGTGCCGACCAGGGCTGGGATGCGGCCCATGCGGTCCGCGATCCAGCCGAACACCAGTCCCCCCAAGATGGCGCCACAGAAGAAGATCGACTGCGCGGTGCTAGGCAAAGCGGCGTCGTCGCACACCCAGTTCTGTTCGGTCGCGATAGTCGAGTACGGCACCTCCGTGGTGTTGTACTCCCAGCCGTGCCGGCACGGCACCTTGCTCCAAGCTGGGTCCGAGCGTGCCACTCCTCGCGCCACCAGGTCCGTGAAGTTGACGTCGTACACGTGGCAACGGTCGAGGACGTCGCCGTCGGGCGGTATGGCCAGCGCGATCCTTGAAAGGATATCGAAGGAATTGGAGATGCATTGGGGGAATCAGTTGTATTAGTTAAGGAATTTGAGGTACTAGTCGAGAATTTAGTGGTATTAGTTGTGAATACTAATAGTAGAGGCACTGGTTGTTAACGTCAAGGAATTAGTCGCCTTAGTCGAGGAATTGGTAGTGACGGTTGAGGTATTAGTTGATATTAGTAAAGGAATTTGAGGTACTAGTCGAGGAATTGGTAGTGATTTTTGAGGTATTGTATTAGTTAAGGAATTTGAGGTACTAGCCGGGAATTTAGTGGTATTATGAATACTAATAGTAGAGGCACGGGTTGGTTAGTCGCCTTAGTCGAGGAATTAATAGTGATGGTTGAGGTATTAGTTGTATTAGTTAAGGAATTTGTGGTACTAGTCGAAGAATTAGTTGTTTTACGTTAGTATAAATCGAGAAATTTGGGTTATTGGTGGACGAATTTGTGATATTCCTTAGTCGCGAAATTAGTGATGCTAGTTAAGATGTTAGTTGTGTTAGTTAAGGAATTAGAGGTTCTAGTCGAGGAATTATTAGTAATAGTTCAAGGTGTTAGTTGCATTAAGCAATTTAAGACATTAGTCGGGGAGTTAGTCGTATTTGAGATCTTATTGGTTGAATTGTAGCAGTTAAGGAATTAGTAGCAATAGCCAAGGTAATAGTTGAGGTATTATTCAGAGAATTTAAGGTATTCCTCGAGGAATTAATTGAATTATTTAAGTAAATTGAGATATTAGTCGAGAAATTAGCTGTATTAGTTGCATAATGTAAGATATTAGGTGAGGAATTGTTAGTAACAGTCAAAGTATTTGTTCAAGTGAGAATTGCTGCCCTTATCCCAGCTTCTATTTTTTGTTTGATGTTTTTGTATGTTTGAAAAAAATTTAAATACATTTTTAACAAAAACTATAGAGATGTTAGTATTAGAGGTATTAATAATGTGTATTAGAAGAATTATTTATCGAAAATGAGAAATTTAGATCCGTTACTAAGAATTAATGTATAGAGTTTTCTCTAAAAAGTTGGTCCTTGGGTAAGGGTTTTGAGGGTTTGTAATTTCGTAAATCTGTATGCACGTTACGAAATCATAGTCAAAGTTTCAGCCGCCGACGAATTGAAATACGGTCGTGATAAAGATAAAAATAGGTGAATTTTTCAATATCCTCTTAACGGCCGTACGAAAATCTATGGAATTTTTTTTATATGGGTTTTTACTTCGACCGTCATAATCAGACGCCGTTTTTTGATTATTTGTTTTCGAGCTCGGTGGCCACTGGCACAGATCGTCGAAAGTCGCAATACGAAGATCGCGGGTTCGAACCCGGTCAAACATAATAATTTTTTCTCGTATTTTAAACAAATAGTACTATTTAATTGTTGCGCGTTACGCGGCGGCGGCGTTTTTAGCCCTCGATAACGCGTCCAATGCTTTTTTTTCCAATCAATGCCTCCGCGACACGCTCTGATTGTTCCGAACGCGATTTACATACATCCCGGGCGGCCGCGTTCGAAGGATACGCGGGACGAAAAAAAAACTCACGCGCAAAAAATCCGCGCGGAAAACGTCGGCGAAAAAAAAACCAATCTCGAATTTGGGTTATATTACGCGCGCCAGTTTAAAAATTCGATTACGTTTCTTGCGATCTCGCAACGCGTCTGCGAGCGATTGCGTCAAGGTCGATTACGCAACGCCGCCTCGTTCAAAACAAACTTTTAATTGGACACCGTGGCGTTTTAATTGGCGACGGAAGCGCCCCTTGTCGCGGCCCGATCCAAGGTTGCTGCCGTTTTCTCCTTAGTTTTCCGATCGAGGGAGGCTGGTATGGCGTTGTCACAGAACACGGTTTCGTCCGTGCCGTTTTCATGCACGGCAACATTGCCAGGTCACCTGCCGTGGCTAGAATAATATTTTTCATAAATTTCTCCCAATGTTTCGTTAAACACCGCCCCTAAAATGACAGGGAGTTTTCATTTTTAAACAATAACTTAAGAAATCAGTTACTCTTCTGTTTCGTATACTTGCGCTCGGTATTGTCCATCGCAAAATGTGCATAGTACGATCAAGTAGGTCGGATGTGATTTACGTTAATAGAATTACAGAAAATAAAGTCGTAGTACCAAAAAAAAACGCATCAGTTGGAAATAATGTTTTTTTCCTAGATTATTATACAAATTGTTCCAAGAATGAGTTCCAAAGAATGAGACTTGATGTAGAAGCAGATTGCCATCGCCCTATACATTGAAGTCAAAGCATCAAAGGGATTACTATAGAGATACAGCCCAGAGAGTGTGGCTCCCATTCTTAAAAAGGGCCACAGGCATTCTGCAATAGCAATCACATCACAATTTGCTAAAATATTTGAATACGCCATGCTTATCGCTTGACCGATTATTTAAGTAAAAACAAAATTTTGTCTGAAACTCAGCACAGTTAAATCAACCCATCCATTCATTTTTGGAGCATGCTATCAATTATATTGAGTCTGACTTTTGACTGTAAGAACCATGAAATTCTTTTGAATAGGATAGAACAATGCGGAATTCGTGGAATAGCTCTGAACTGGTTCAGTGTCAAATTCAAAATTCTCAAGTCCAATCTGTAGATGCGTACCCTGTTTTGTTTTCAATCCTGTTTAGAGTCTACAATAGACTGTGCCCAGAGCTAAAGAGCAATAGTAATGTAAACATTTTTAAATCCAAACTAAAGTTTCTCCTTCCAGAAAACTGTTTTTATAATTTAAACGAATATTTTTCCTATTAATATTTGTCATCACTGTATTGTTGTGTTCTGTCATATATTTCTATTATATAATTTTTTAATATAATTTTCTGCCTCTTTGACGAAATCCATAATACACTGATTGTATTCTAAATATGTGGGATAATAAAGATATTATTATTATTATTATTATTATTATTATTATTATTATATATTTACAAAACTTCTGGATTCAATAAGAGTTGCACGAGCGTTTTGACCTTTTGGCTGTTTTTCGTGGGAAAAGGTACTGAAACTTCAGTTAGACTTTCAAGAAGCCAAAAAAAAACAAGGGGTACGCCTGTGGTTCGTTGACCAGCCCTAACCTCAGCTTGAACGTAATAGGGAAGTTGTCAAGTTTTTTTAACGGTCTCCCGCGATAACCGTCGGTCGAGGCCATATTGACACACGAAGGCGCTCGCGACCATTTCCAAGGCCCGCTCCGCGCGCGCGCGCGAGAATCAATCGTCAAATAACCTGTCGCCCAATTAGGCGTCATTAGTCACGGGCGCGCGCATTTTCAGCGGCCTCCAGCCCCTTTTGCTCCGTTCCGCCCCGCGTACTTAACGCGGACGCCGGCCTTGATTTTGATCTTAGATCGGTATCTTTATTTCGCGACCGCCGATTACGCGTCACTTGAAGGGGAAAGCGCGATACTCTACGCTCTTGACCTAAACGTCAACGCGTAGAGAACAGGCGTTCAGGGCGCCGACGGTCCGTGACGTAGCCACGGACCTTTGCGTTTCGTTCCGTGGTCCGTGCTCCTCTTCTTTTAAACAACAATTACCTTTGACCCTCTCGTTCTATCCGAGTAAGCGTCTTACGTCAAGTCAGTTGTCGAATTTAACGTATAACGTGGAAGCGCGAGTTTGTCAGCGAAAGTGCGTTTTTTTTCGAGCAATATCGACGTGAACCGTATTGAGAACAACGTCAAACGAGGTAAGTGCGCCTCACCGTTCTTCGACGGTCAAGTTGGCGAGTTCGGGCACCCAGCACCAGTGGCGTTCGGGCACGAGCGTGATGAATATCTGCGAGAAGTAGACCCAGGCGACGAAGAACGCGAACGGGATCATCATCAGGAAGAGGAAGACCTGGTAGTAGCCGAAGTCGCCGATGTGCTCGAACAGGTCGTCGAAGTCGAACGCCGTTTCGTCGGGTTTCGGCTTGGCGCCGTCGCCGACGAACGCGGGGTTCGCGCGCCCTTCCAGGCCGGGCGGCGCCTTTTCCTGGGGCGGCATCTCGTGCAAACTGAGTGGCGGAGATTTATATATACGGGCTAACCGCGACGGGTAATTCCCGGTACGAGACGCGCGGACCGACTAGTAGTACCAGCGATCTCTCGCCCACTTTATAAGAACCGCGTCTTCTGCGGTTGGAGGCGGCGTTGCCGCCTCCGCGCGTTTTCCGGACAGCGTTCGATAAATAAACCGCTACAAATATATATAATTTCGTGAAAATCTGAACTTTTAGTTCTTATTTATTTTGAGAAAAAAGAAAGCTAGTCGTGATTGGAAAACGCATAATATTTTATGGTGCGCGGTACATCTCCTTCGGGCTTTATTAGCATGAACAGTCATGGGGTGACCTTAATTATCATAATGCATTTCATCTATGGCAGGTGCAAGATTTCTTTGAGTAATTGTTTTATCAGTTTTTAAAAGTAGCAAAGCAACGTAAGATTTAAAATCAAATCAATCACTTCGTCATTAAAAAACATGAAAAATATTTCAATCGGAGATTTTCTAGTTCCTCACATGATTTAAATTCATCTGATATAGGTGTGGGAGTGTACTCAATCTGACCTTTCTTCCATTTGACAGTAGAAGCAAGCCTGTCGTTTGCAGAGAGCATACGTGTTCTTTTGAATTCCATTGCCATTGCCAATTGCCGGCAACCTCGCAACTAACGGCGTCTGTAGTGGAAGACGCTGGCACAAAGAGACGGGAGAACCGACGTTGCCGGTTTTCTCGAGATACCGGTAACGCCGTTAGAATGAAAGTGAACGAAAGATTTCGTAAGTGTTTTAGTACCATTAGTCTACGATCAACGATCACATTATTATTTCTTTTGATAATGCTCTTGCGACTGCACTTAAATCTTTAGATTACTCTAAGGCCTTTGAGTTACTACAGCTGCGATGATGTTTCGACTCGATTTTTTGAAAATTATTTGGTTAACAGATATCATGACGATGCAAGTTCTGAATTTCTACTTGTTTCATTTGGTGTGTTCTGATATTTACACATCCATCGAATATTTGAATTTGCATTCATTTGCCGATGACACTCGGCTATTTTACTCCTTCGATCCTAAATTATTTGATATTGCATAACTTATTTCTATATTCTTCTAGGCATACTCTTCAACTTAGTAGCTTTTGCTAGACTTCGCCTTTTCTCTACTGTATATTTGTATATAACAATATACAACAATAAAGGCAATTTAATATTATTATTATACTGTCAAAAGAAACGCAAAATATGGATTTTTTGCATTAAATTTATAGCCGGTCCAGTCCAAACTCGCATATGTAAACTTGAAGACGAAACAAACATGGCCACCGCGCATGATAGCCACCTGACAGCGGTGTTGCCAAATAAATTAACTTCTAGCTTTATCCGTCGCAGATACATACAACTCTCGATACAGACTTATTAGTTCCGCATCTCCTTTTCTTGATATCTTCGTGAGGGGTTTCTGTCTCTAATTTTGACGAGCTTGGTTTTGCATTTACCAGAATGTTTGTAAGATGTACGTGTCGTAGCGTTTGGTTGGTTTGTGTGCTTTAATAGCAAATAGGGCCGGCAACGTTGGATTATATTTACCGATGCCGATAATGCAGGCACCGACATAAGGTGCGCGCGTCCTCTCGCCGCTCAATATGGCCGCTGACGTTATCAGCTGTCAGTCGTTTCGTTTGTGCCTCGTTTTTGACGATTGCGTGAGTGGACGTTGCCGTTTGGAAATGGAAAATGGCGAAAAGTGATTTCGCTGGTCGGTAGTCGATCGTGTCTAGGGGTCACACCGGGAGCGAGAGCGAGAGTCGCTCCGGGTGCGACCGCTAGACGGCAGTGTGTCTTTAGGCGTAACCAATCGAGGCGAGGTTTTTCCCTGAACGGACGGGACGCAGCCGGGCCGTGACGGCGAAACAAAATAAAAATAAAGCGTCGTCCGGCGGAATCGCCGAGTCGGCGACCCGTGCGATTCAATTAACGGCTAATTGGTTGAAAAAAAACAACGGATCGTTTGACCGACACGGTCGCGGTTTCGTTTCCTTCTTTTTTTTTGCCGTGGAATCGCGACGGCCGCCGTCCGCGGTTTTCTTTCGTCCCGTCCTGCTTTTTTTTTATCACACGCGAAACCCGCCCACGTGTACGGCAAAGCACTTCCGGGTTCCGGGGTGCGGCCCGAGGCCGACGTTCGGGGCGCGAATGGCGGCCGTTACGTCACCGTTTCGAAAGCTTTATAAGGTATCAACTTCGTTAATCGATACGTGTAATAGGCAACAGTGTCGCAATCGCCATTTCGTTAATTCCGTGTGTGCGCCTTATCTCCGAGAACGTTCCGACCTTGGCGGTCCGACAATGCGGATAAAAAAACGCCCGATCTCCCGCGCCGAGGTCGCTGTCGAGTCGTTGTTTCCGTCGAATAGGCCGATTCGGAAAAGTCTGGTTTAGCGAGACCGCGACGCGACGGGGGAGTTTTGCCGGTTACCCGATAGATGGCGTTACAGTACAATACCGCCGCGTTCCCATGTGGCTGGTATTAATAGCTCATTCGTTCGGACGTGATGTTTTTAATAAGTTTTCGTAATTTTCGTTGATTGTACAATAGATGGAGCTGAAAGTCAAATCACCACTGCATACTAAGAAATCTGTTAAACAGCCATTTTTAAATTGAGTTGTCTTGCAAGTAACGAAAACAAATTACTTTCGCGAAAATTTTGAAATTTTTTCGGCTCTCGAATAGATGGCGCGACCTGATTGCCCAATTTGGCCGTTCGTTGTTTTGGGTCGCCAATTATGTTAATTTACTAAGTTATGCTCTGATGGTTATCCAGAAATGCCCATATTAGGTGTTTTAGGGGGTTGACGAGTGTTGAGGATTTGCCTTTGAAATTTTTATTTGGTTGTTGGTTATCCAAAATTGCTCATATTAGGTGTTTTAAGGAGTAGACAAGTTTTATAGATTTTCCAAGTCTTTGAATTTTTGATTCGCCTGTTGGTTGGTTAGTTTCTGGATAGAAATGCTTATCCAGAAATGTCCGTATTAGGTGCTTTAGGGTGTGGAAGAGTTTCGTAGTTTTTCCAAGGTTTATGGTCTTTGAAATTTTTATTCGGCTGTTGGTTATCCAGAAATATATCCGTTTTAGGGAGTAGACGAGTTTTGAGGATTTTCCTTTAAAAATTTTACTTGGAGATCCAAAATACCGATTTCTTGATTTTTGAACGTTTTGTTGGCCAAAAAAAAAACACCGCTTTAAGTAGGAAAGATTATATTAAATGAATCAAGAAAATCTAAACATATACTACTAAAACGCTCATTGATCTTCGCGATCGTGCTCGTTGGGCATCTCGTCCAGCAGGCCGATCTCTTCCGCGTAGTTCAACCCCTCCAGGTACGACGAGTGGAACTCTTCCGCGGCCTGCGGACTGCTAAACGTCGCCTTCAGGTGGCGCCAGCGGAGGACGCCGTCCGCCCACTCGACCGCTTTCCACCGGGACTCGTTCTTCCCGGTCTCCATTATGGTGTTCATCCCGATAAGGGTGTTGGTGTAGACGACGCCTTGGTCGTCGGTAACGGCGATCCGCGCCGCGTAAATCTCCGTGTCGTAGTACACCTGGAGGTCGCCCATCGCGACCTTGGTCCATGTGCCGGGCGTCGTCGACGACTCCTCGCTCAGCGTGCACCGTTTGGAAAACATCACCGACCGCTCGACGTCCTCGTCGTCGTCGTCGTCGTCTTCCTCCTCCTCGTCATCGTCCTCCTCTTCCTCTGCGGGCTTGGCGGCTTGAAACTCGCCGACCTTGGCGACCGCCTCCTCCACCGCCTTTTTAAACTTGTCCGCGAGCTCGACGCTCTTGAACCTCACGGCGAGCTTTTCCAGACCCTGCGCGTCGTCCGTGTAGTTGTACCCCACCCAGATCCACGCCTGCAACGCGAACGGGACGTGGACGTCGTTTCCGGGGAGGTCCCTCGCGCACCTACCTTATCGGACGTCGCCATCGGCTGCAGGTCCGTCTCGGCGGCGATCCTCTGGTTCAGCACGACCTTGTGGACCTGCTCGCGTCTCAGCAGCAGCCTGTACGTCTCTGAAACGGGCCGCGTCACCTGGGGGAGGACTTAGGGGCGTGCTATACTCACTGTCTCTCGGGTGGAAGAGGACCTTCATCTGGCCGACGCCCCTCTCCTTCCACTCGGCGGCGTCGCCGTCGAAACGGAACAGTTTGGCGCGCTCGTTGAACAGCGGCGTTTCGTCCTCCTCGCCGGTGGTGACGACGATCTGGTCGGGCAGCGGCACGATCGGCTCGAAGTGGGGATCGTGGTCGCCGCCGCCGCCGTCTTCGTCGGCCGCCGTCGTCGTTTCCTCGTCGTCCCGCTTCTTGGCCGAGCCGAAGACGGGTGCGCCCGCCCCCAGGAACGCGAACGGAGTCGCCTTTTCGTCCTGGGGGGCGGCGAAAGCGGGCGGCGCTTCCGGTCCCGCGCGCGCCGCCAGCGATGCGAACGACAACCCCGCGTCGCACTTGAGTACAGGCCCGTCGGTTTTGCCGCCCCCGAACGCGGCCGGCGTCGGACTGCCGAATATGCTGCCCCCGACGCCGGTCAACGCGCCGAACGGGCCGCCCTTCGATCCCACGTCGGCGAAGATGTTCGGCTTGGCGGGGGCGGGCGCGTCGTTCGTGGTGGTTTTCGCACTTTCGGTGCTGGTCTTTGGCGTGGTAACACTGTTTATCGTTTGGGAAGCGGTACCGAAAATATTGGCAGCGGTACCGCCGAAAACGGAGGTCGTTTTCGCGGCGGCGGTACCGTTTGTGCTTTCTGGATTATCGGCGGGGGCGGTCGTGTCGAAAATATTGGTGGATTTTGAGCTGCCGGTACCGGTGGGACCGAATATAGAGCTCGTCTTGGGCGCGGTAGCACTGTTTACCATTTGGGGAGCGGTACCGAAAATATTGGCGGCGGTACCGCCGAAAACGGAACTCGCGTTGGTGGTTTCGGGATTATCCGTGGAGGCGGTCGTATCGAGAGTAGCGGTGCTTTTTGAATTATCGTTGCCGGCGGTACCGAAGAGGTTCCACGAGGCGGGACTGTCGGTCGCGGTGGTGCCGAATATGGTGTTCGTCTTCGGCGCGGTAGCACTGTTTACCGTTTGGGGGGGGCTACCGAAAATATTGGCGGCGGTACTACCGAAAAGTGAGCTAGTTTTGGGGGTCGCGGCGCCGTTTGTGGTTTCGGGGGCGGTCGTATCGAAAATGTTGGTGCCGGTGGTACCGAATATGGTGCTCGTCTTCGGTGTGGTTTTGGGACTATCAAAAAGGTTGGAAGTTTTGGCGGCGTCACCGAACGGGTTAAGCTTGGGCGAGAAGCCGAAGATGGGCTGGCCGGGCGTAAACGAGAACGTCGCCTTGGAGGCGGCGCCGAACGTGAACGCCGTTTTGGGCGGCTGCCGCAGCAGCTCCTCCAGGTTGGGCGCGTTCTTCGTCTCCATAAACAGTTCCTTGAGGTACTCGTCCTCCTTGAGGCACTGGGCGCAGCGGCAGTCGGGCCGTTGGCGGTACGCGAAGAATTTGGGCGGTAATCCGAGCCGGACCGCCTCCCGTTCCTCCTCTTCGCTCACCTTCGTCTCCGACACGAACTCGACGTCGGAATCGTCCGTCGCCGGGACGTCTTCACCGACGCGCACCGCGTCCTCGGCCGCCTTCTTGAAGGCGCGCGCCGCCTCCGCGCTCTTGAACCGCACGCAAAACTGGTCGTTGCTGACGGCGCCGTCCGAATAGTCGGCCGCGTGGAACAACCACGTCTTCTCGTCCTTGGGGCGGTACTCGACGTCTTTGGTGAGACGATGATTGAGGCACACCTTGAGCACCTGCTCGCGTCTCATCACCACGCGCAGCTTCCCGCCCGCCTTCTCGCGCAGGATCTTCACGTCACCGACGCCCCTGTCCTTCCACTCGCCGTCCGCGAAGCGGAACAGCTTGGCGCGATCGCGGTGCACCACCTCCTCGTCCTCTTCGCCGGTGCGCACCTCCACCTTGTCGGGCAACGGCACCGCCGGCTTGAAATAGATCGTGTCCTCTTCCTCCTCCTCCTCCACCGGTTCCTCGGCGTCCCCATCTTCTCGCGCCTCGCTGACGCGCCGCGGCGACTTGGGCTTGAACTCGAACTCGCGCTTCTGCGGCGATCCGAACACGAACTCGGTGGTCTTGGGCGACTCCGTCGGCGCCGGCTTCCACGAAAACGCCGCGGGGGCGGACGGTTGCGGCGCCGGCACGCCGAACGTGAACTTGAGGCCGGGCGTGGTCAGGTCGACGCCTTTGGGCGTGGGCGCCGGAGCCCCGCCCTCTTTCGAGTGGTCGCACGACAAGCAACGCGCGTTGGTCGCGTCGTTGCGCACCAGGCACTGCGCGCACTCCCACGAACCCGCTTTCGGCTTGAAAGCGTCGCCGAAGCCGGCCACGGGGGACCTGGGGGAGTCGCAGGCCGGACACTTGGACGCTTCGGCGCCGTTGACGATGTAACAGTTGCGGCACTCCCACGAGCCCGCCTTCGGCTTGAACGCGTCGCCGAAGCTAAAGTTGGCGAACGGGCTCGGCTTGGACGGCGGCGGCGGCTCTGTTTCCTCCTCCTTCTTCTTCTCCACCCCCTCCTTCACCGCCACGGGCGCCGTAAACACGAACCCGCCGAGCGACTTTTTCGGCGAGTCCGCGGCGGGCCGTATCTTGCTCTTGGCCAAATCGAAGGCGGCGCGAAAGTCGACCGCCTCCTCCGCCGTCTTGAACTTGGCGCAAAATTTCTCGAGGACGACGGCGCCGTCGGCGTAGTCGTGGGCGGCCCAGACGCACGCGCGCTCGTTCCCGCCCATCGGCGTCACCGTCGTCGTCTCGACGATCATGTGGTTCGCGCACACCTTGTGCACCTGCTCGCGTCTCATGATGAGCCGCACCTTGCCCGTTTCGGGGTCGAAGAGGATCTTCAGCGTGCCGACGCCGCGCTCCTTCCACTCGGACGCGGTCCCGTCGGCGACGAGGCGAAACAGCTTGGCGCGACCTCGGAACAGCTCCGTCTCGTTCTCTTCGCCGGTGGTGACGGGCACCTCGGCCGGCAACGGCACGATCGGCTTAAAGTCGGGCCTGGGGTCGTACTCCGCGTCCGTCGGGTCCGCCTCTTTCGCGGGACTGAAGGTGCGGTCGAGCGTCTTCTCGATCTGGACGCCGAGCGTAACGTTCTTGGAGGGCGGCGTGACCGCCGATATCGGGGGCGGCGCGACGTTCGTCAGCAGGCTCTGGGTGGCGATCGCGGGCGGCGGCTCGCGCAAGACGGCGGGCGCCGCGAGCGTCGACGTCGTCGTCGGCATCGGGATCTGGTAGCCGTGCGGCTGCTTGATGTGCTGCGGCGGGATCGTCACCGACAGTACCGGCTTCGCGACGGCGGAGGCGGCGGTCGCCGCGGGCAGCGGGTCCGACGACGTGATGACGACGTTGACGGGGGGCGGCGCTCGTCCCGTCGCGAACGGTTTCGGGGATTGCGGCGCGAGCGTCGCCGGCGGCGGCGGCGGAGGCGCGAGCTGCGTCAACGCCGTCAGCTGCTGCAGCTGCTGCTCGGGGGCGGCGAGGAACGGCGGCGGCAGGCCGAGGCCGCCGTAGGCGTACGCGAGGCCCGGGTAGAGACTCGGATAGAGAGCGGCCGCCGGCGGAGGCGGCATCCGCGCGTGATACGGCGACGGGTAGAGCAGCGGCGGCGGCGGCGGCTGCGGCTGCGGATTCACGTTGTAGTCGAGGTCGAGCCCGAACAGGTCCTCGTCGCTGAGCTGCACTGTGTTCTTCTGCTGGTCCTTCTTCAGCTCGCGGATTTCCAGCTTGAGCTCGCGCACCACGTCGCCGACATTCTGCTTCAGGTCGTCGAGGCACTCGCGGAACGTGCGCGCCTGCTCGTCGACGGCGCCCGAGAGTCGCTTAACCGCGTCCTTGAAACCGCGAAACTCTTCGAGGAGGCCCCGTTGCAGCTCCGCCACCGTCTTGTTTTGCTCGACGAGGCCGCCGACTACGGCGTCCCTCGCGGCCGCCATCTGACGCAGTTGCGCGTCCAAACGCTCGGGGCTGGGACGAGCCTCTCGGCGCGATAGCGGCGTCGACTGCGTGCGGAAACTCGCGCGAGCGTCCACGTAGACGGGGCTACGCTCCGCGCCGTCGTCGTCATCGTCGTCGTCGCTACGCCCGTCGGGGTCGAGCCGGGCCAATTTCCGCTCCGTCTCGTCGATTTCGGCGGCCAACCGGGCGTTGAGGGGATGGTCGCGGTCGCATAGAGGGTCGCGGAGGCGGTCCAGCGTGAGATAGAGGCAGTCGCGTGCGCGAGTCAGCAAAGCGCGGGTGGCGGCGCCGTCTTCGTCGGTTAACTCGTCCGCCATCTTCACGTAGATCCGGGCCTGGTGGAAACTGGCGTAGGGATCGCGGAGCGTCTCGAAGATGGCGCACGCGCGCTCGAACTCCTTGCGCTTGGCGAGCTGCTCGCCGACGAAGAGGTTCGCGCGCTCGATCTGCGCCGCGACCTCCGCGGCCGCCATTTCCCTGCCGCGGTACTCGAACAGGCGGCAAGGGGGGTACGAGACCGCGCGCTGCTTCTTCAGCCTCTCGAGAAGCGGCAACGCCGCGTTCCAGTAGAGTTCGGCGCGCGCCTCGTTCGCCTCCGCCTCCGAGCGTTTGGCGCGCTTCTCGGCGCGCCGAGCGAACGCGTCGCCGAGACGGACCAACATGGCGACGTCGAGGCCGTGGTTCCCCACGCACCGAACCACCTGCGTGATGGTCCCGAAACGGGAAATATTAAAAATAGTTTGCGTTTTCGTAATAAAAGTATTATTTTGCCCCGACACCGACTGACTATCGCACAAAGAAGCTATGCGTACTATGCAGTAAAATATTTTAATGAATTACCTAATGAACTGAAAAATCTCAATGTTGACAAAAAAGCAATTTTTATTTAAAAAATTCAAAAATCATTTATATTTAAAAAAAAAAATGATTTTTTTATTTTCGTGGATTTGTTTTTTAATTGCAGCGCCCTTAGTTTTAAGTGGACAATATTTTCCCATATTTCGGATGTTTATTTTTGATTAGCATTATTTATCGGTCTAGTCTAAACAGTTATAATTCTGTCATTCGTAATATTGTGAACTCATGGGAACCCACTTTGGGTTTTTTTTTCGGAAGTAAACGGAACACGCACTGATTAGGTCGGATTTTGAGTAGCCCCGATAGTTTGTTTTGGATAGGCCATTTTACATTTGATCTAACGGGTCGAGGATCATTGGATTCCCTTCAATAATCAATTAAGTGATTAAATTATTCATTTTTTTTAGCACTGTGTTGTGCATTCTTTTAATGTCCTAGATATCTAACCATTTTATTATTTTTGTTATATTATTTCGACATATATACGAGGGCAGCGCCAAAATTACCCGGACTGAATATGAAAGAAACAAAGTAGAGTAACAATTTTTCATTACTTTTTAATATAATCCCCCTTAACTTCAATACACTTATTACATCTTTTTATTAACTCAATCCCTTTAAAAAATATTCTTTTGCTTTGTCTGCAAAATGAGCTAAAACAGCCTCTTTTAACTCAACTTCGTCGTTAAATTGCCGTGCACGTAAGTTCCTTTTTCAAATAATAATAGTACCAGAGAGCCATATCTGTTGGAACCCACACTCTAAAATGGCAGCTTGCGCATGACCAGCAGTATGGACAGGTGCATTATCGTGCAAAAGACGCACGCCTCTGGTCAATTTTTCTCGACGTTTTACACGTATGCAGTCTCGCAATTTATGTAATAATGTTGCGTAATATTTACCATTGATAGTGGTATTGGTTTCTTTAAAATATAAGAAAAGAATTCCTTCACAATCCCAAAAGATCGAGGCCATCACCTTTTTTGTTGACTGGCAGACTCTGAATTTTCTTGGAGGTGCTTCACCCTCACGACGCCACTCCCTTTTTTCTATGTTTCGAGTTTTTTTTTGACACGTAATGTATTCTGTAGTGCAACAAAATAAATAATTTCAGAGCAAAAAAGCATTTTTTTATTTATTTTTTTACGCTTGGGATTATATGGGTTAAAGTGTGTTTCTCACTCGTGAGTTTTTGAATTAACCAGTAAGTTATTTCTTATCAAGAACAAAAGGGATGATTTATAACATAAATTTTTTATGTGAAATATTTACATAAAATGTTCCTAAGTAGTAAATAACTGTTTACAACGAAAAAAAAAAAAAAAGCAGTCCCTTCAATTTCGCTTATAGACTTCCGACTGCATTTAAAACTAATTTGAAATTGTTTCTTTTAGTCTCGTTTATAACATTCGCATTCGACATTTTTCCATAAAAAAAAATAATAATGATTTTTGGACACGGTTGAATAAGCACTCGTAGTATTACAGTAAGCCTGTGAAAGTTTGAAAAAAAAAAAGCTCACCTCGATGCCCTTCATGAGGAGGCGGCGCGCGTCTCCGGCGACGGGGCCGCCCCCGGCGGCGCCGCCCATCGCGTGAGCGGCCTCGACGAACTTGGCCTGGTCGGGGGTGCCGAGGGCGGCGGTCACCGCCGCCGGCATCACCCGGGGCCGGTCCCTCTCGTACGGTTGGGGGGCGTCGTCGGCGCACATCGCAGCGCAGTACAGGAACGCCTCTACGTCGACGACGCTCAGCGACTCCGCAGAGCAGTGGGTGGGGTTGCGGGTGCCGTAAGGCAACCCGTCGAAGGTGGTCAGTCGGAAGGCGGTCGGGTCTTCTTCGTTGGCTTTCAACAGCCACACGTAGTGGTGGAGGGAGGCCGGGCGGGCGGTCTGCGCGGTCGAGTCGTACCGCTCGAGGTCTACGGCGTCCGGAAGGCGGAGCGTCGGCTCGACGGCGCTCCGCGCGACGAAGAAGCTCGTCGCCGCCTTGCGTTGTCTCTGGCTCCCCGCGAAGACGCTCTTGAAGAATCGCTCTCGCCACGACGCGCCCGTCGCGCATCTCCGCGACGCCTTTTCCATCAACGCACCGCGCCTGTTCTTCGGCGCGCACCCGAGCACCACGTGACCCGATTGCGAGCAACGAAACGAGGCGTCGCGATGCCACCGACAGACGGTGCGACGCGTGTTCTCGGGGGCGGCGGCGAACCACACGCCGTCCAAGTCCGGAGGCGGGCAATGGTATGCGACGAGCCACACGGGCAGGCACGAGTCCGCGCACTCCTTGAAACCGACGAGGCCCTTTTTCGCCTGCCTGAAGGCCAACACGGCGAGGTGGAAGTGGAGCTGCGCCTCGTAGTGGTCGAGGAAGAGGCGTCGGAACGTCGGGTCCGGACACGCGGCCTCCGCGTCGCCGGTGGCGCGAGCCAGAACCTGGTCAAAGTTGAAGACGCATTCGGCGTAGTCCGTCGTGCTGGTCGGCGAGTGCTCGTCGAGCGCGAAACCGGCCATCTTGTCGAGTACCGAGACGGACAGGTGCCAAAAATGCCACGAGAGGGGCGGGGACGCGGCGCGCCGCTCGTACCGCACCAGCACCTCGGCGACGGCGTCGTACCACGCGGGGCTCGCGTGGAAGTCGCCGAGTTGGCGCTCCTCCACGTCGGCGGCGTGCTCGTACGCTTCCGCGATCATGTCGTTGCGCAGATAGTGACGCATCAGTCGGACCCGGAGGGCGACGTCTCCGGGCCTGTTCTCGAGCTCCGCGAGGAGGAAGCGGGTCACCTCGCGCGGGTCGTCGCTCTCGCACGCCACCAGGCGCTCTTTCAACGTGAAAATGGCGGGGTCGCGGGGGTCGAGCGTCTGCGCGAGCTCGCAAAAGTACCGCGCCCCCGACTGGTCCAGCTCGACGTCGTCCTCCGCCATCAGTTGACACACTGTTCAATTTATTTGTTTAATCAAACAAAACAAAATTTAATATACGCGTAGTATTATTGCAAAATTTCCGAGGTAGCAGAGGTTCGTCAACTAGTTGGTGGTCCGACAAACACGTCAAAAAAAAAAAAGGATGTTTGTAGGACAGTGATGGAGAAACTAGGGGCCTGTATAAAAACTACCCGCGGCGATATTCAAACCTCAATAGCATTCTAGACAAATCCATCCGACCCCTCTTCACTCGAAATTTCCAGACACTGTTCTGTTTTTCCGAAAGAATTTGCTTTCATTGGTGATAAGTCCGATAGGTCCATAAAAACAACGTAAATCCAGTTTTTCGAAAGTAACTCACACTACCTGCAAGAGTTCAAAAAAGAATATCTCCCCTTAAAATTAAATCTCCAACTTCTTTCAAATCAATGTTCCGGGTCTTTTAAATGTTTTCCTAAAATCTGTAGCTACAAAATTCGAGATACTTGTTACATTTCATAACCTTAAATAAAACAGCTTTTACTGTCCACCTGGACTATATGCCACTAAAAGAATAGGACTGACTGACTGACACCATGGTATCTCAGACAATTTTCATTAAAGAAGAACCCATTTTCCAAGACATGATTTTGCAAATTCTGCTTTTTTTACCCTCCGGCTTAAACGGTTCGAAAGTAATCGAACTACAATCCTATTCCACTGAGAACGGACAACAGGTCGCACCAAATTCACCGAGCCAGAAGAGCCATGGACCACATAACTAGTTAAACGCTTGATATATATTAATCTACCATACCTTTCATGATCAAATTGTTCTGCTTGGGCTCCTGCTGAAGGCTCTTTTTGTACGCCTCCAAGGCGGCCTCTTTCCTGCCGAGCTTCTCCAGCGCATTACCGAGCAACCCGTAGCCTTCGGGCGACTTGGGCTTCACACTGAGGTAGGAGCTGACGTAGCGAACGGTTTGCTCGTAGTCCCCGACGCTAAAGTACAGCTTGGCGAACGCAAAACATCTCAAGTTTCGCTGCAATTTGCAATTGGCACGTGTCGACCGTAGCCAATAAACAGTAAATAATGATCGATGGACATTTTGGCACGCCGCTTACCTCGGTCTCGTTGTTTATCTTCTTCAGGCTGTTGTCAACGTGTTTGTCGACCTCCAACTTGGTGCGGAACATCGCCGATCGCGGTTTTCGCAATACACTTAATCTAAAATACGATAATATCACTTTTACGACAACCTTGCACGAACGTTGAAATTTTTCAAAGACGAATACGCCATTTGACTTTTTACTCGGTACGAAACGACACGCCGATAGGTGCGTCCCGTCGCGCGCGCACTGTGAGGTAGAAAGAGATCCACAGCGCGCGGCACGTCGATTCTCCAACGACACGAAAGCGGGAACCCAGCGCTGCCAACTTGGTCCAAGTGGAATAAACAAAACCCTGCTCTATAAGTACTATTCAATTGATAATTACGCAAAAACAACGGCAACGTAAACCCTCAAATATAGGACCTTTTTTTTCAAATCAGAGAATAACTGTTGGTCACTGAAAAACAGGCGAGCAGGGATAAAACGCGAATATGTGCGCGGTATTGACCATACGCGTTGACACAGTCGAAGGGCGCAAGATCGCCGCTTAGGGGGTGCGAAGGGGTGCGACCGTCATCCAGTTGACGTCGCGACGCATTCTGAGACGGTCGGCGTCGTGTCGTATTGTTCGTTGTTTACGTGTCACGGGTGCAATAAAAGGTAAGCAGTATTAGTCGAACGAACGGCTTTCTTTTCGCGGTTGGTACAATTGAACGCAATGTAACCGTCTTCTGGAACGTAAAAAATTGACGTACAATGCCAGTCGCTTCCGTTAGACAATTGATTCAAATCGTCGTGCACTCCAAACGGGTTAATAATTTAATCATAACGACTATCGATTGAGAGTTTGCGTCAAGACGGTTGTTGGTTTTTAAACGTTCCGTAATAAGGTAAACGAGGCGCGTCACTCTCCGCGTTTGCATTCACGGACCACAAAAAATTACTTCGACACCACATTTTTTTATTGTCCGCGACCGGGCGCCCGCACAATAACCACTCGGCCGTGATCGATGGGTCTTTATTTGACGCGTGATTGACCGCCCCTCGTCATTCATTACGCTCGGGCATAATTGGCCGTCCGTTAATTCATTAACGGCCGATCGGCAGGTGTCAACGGCAGGCGAAACTGAATTTTTCCCGATATTAATCACGCGACGAGAGGCTTTCGCTGTCCCGAAATAACCAAATTCAATTCGTCGCTTTTAACGGAGCCAGGGCGAATCGGATCAAACGCTAAAACGCAAAAAGCCGCTCGGTGGAGGGGGGACGGGGACGGTATTAATTAAACCCTCCGCCTCGGGCGTCTCAGGATTTTTTTGCCGCGCTTTTAACGATATCCGAAATCAAGGAGGCCTTTGTTTCGCCAGGGAAACCGGCCCTGCACGCGGCTCGTTATCTCGACTGCGAAACGGCGGTTTATCTCCGTTTCCGTGGCAACGGTCGTTTCCGCAAAACGAAGGGAAGCCCGTGTTATCATTAACCGCGTCCGTCTTTGTCTCTTAAAACGTTAAAATCGCCGTAACCACCGAATGCGTGTTAATGCGTGGGCGAGACAGTAGCGATCACTCGCCCAAACCACGGAACACTAACTATAATCAACGACGAACACGGAACACGGCATTTGGATTGTTAAAATTGAACGGAAACTTATGCTTTCCTCGTTTTCAGATGAAACGTGCGAAAACTGCTCTGGCGTGGCTCGCTTGTCTGCTGGCGGCGGCGGCCGCCGAGTCCACGCGTGTGGAGGACGAGGTAAGAGGCGGGCAGTGGTGACGTCATTGGATAATTGGCGGCGATTTTTATATTTATTATATCGCGTCGGAGCTCCGTTCGAGGGTGGGATGGGGGGCCACAGGGCCCCTTTCGGGTCGCGCCAATGACGGATACGAGGGGCTGATTGATGGATCGCGCCCGAAGTCGTATTTTACGACGTCCCCGAGGACCCCGTCGAAAGCGTCGCGGTTTTGAATCCCCCGAGAGGGGTGGGGGCGGGGGCGGCTTGCCCGCCCCCGACTCCGCGTCTTTGACGGTGAAATTATGCCGGAGCACGCGTGTCGTCTAACCGCCACGGGCATACGATCATCGGTGCGGTTGTGAACATACTGGGTGTCTCCAAAACTAACCACAACTCGATATAGGGCGGGGCAACTAGGGGTTGTGGCGTATTATCGCAGAGCTTGCTCGAAGAATATTTTTGCGTTGCAGTTTTGATACGTTGACCGTACCGTATTACCCGTATTACTGCTGATGAGTTTATTTGTTATTTGTTAAAGTATTCTTTGCCTCGTATCTTAAAGATCCTAAAAAATAAATGAAAAATTATTAAATATGTGATAATTCTGTTTGAACACTATCGTAAACTGTGTCGAGAGAGAGTTTCAGTTTTCGTCTATCATACAGGGTGCGCCAGATATTTGAAAAAACATAATCGCAATTACCGGTACAAATTAAAATATTTACCAAAGTTTGCCGTAACTTTGAAGTTCGACCAGATGCGAGAGACGCTTTTTACAGGGTGCGTGCACAACAAAATTACATCGATTTTGCGAAAGTTCAGCAGGAGCACAATAGTAAAACAATGCGTCCATCTTTTGGTAATAAAAAGCTGTTTCGCGCTACTTGCGTCGAACTTGTCCCGCCCAGTGCTGATTTTTCGAAAGCAATCTTGTTGAATAAGCGGCGCAATAGCTACTCTACTGAACCGCTAAAGAACTATTTATATAATTAATAAATTGCGCATTATTTATTGAAATAAAAAATGGACGAGCAACAAATAAAATATGAAAAATACCTGCAAAATCGGAAGAACAACATAACTATACTACGCACTACAGAAAATGCAATTGAAGATAAAGAATTTGATCACTCAATATAATCCCTTGCTAATAAAATAATTAGTAACACATTGTTTGGAAAATTGTATTTGTAACAAATGATCTTTGCACCTTTTTTTAAATGAATATAAATTTAAGTTACTGAATTCCTGTGACAAAGAATTATAAACGCGAATCGCGTTGAATGTGAAAGATCTACGAAACAAGGCACTCCGATGATGTGGCATCGTTAGTCCGTACCCGTATCTTACATTTACAGAATGGATAGTACTCCTAGGAGTAAGCCGAATATGTTGAAATGAAGAGCTCTTCTTTGTTCCATTTTAAGGCAATTAAGTTGACGATATGCAGTCATATTTTCGAAGACCCATAATAAAACAAACACAAGCATTCTGCAACCTTTGAATACGGCACTTACACTCGTTATCAATAAAAAAAAACCATACATTACATCACAGTAATTAAAATGTGAGAGAACAAGTGACTCACATAATTGTTTCCTAAGTATATAATTTAAAATATGCCTGTTAATACATAAGATCTTTAGTAAGAAATATGCCTTTTGAAATATATTTTTTAAATATTCACGAAATCTTAGATCACAATCTATGATCACCCCCAATTTTTTTGCTGAATCGACAACGGAAAGTTTAATATTATCTAACATTATATTAATATTTTGTTTAAGTAGCTTAACCTTATATGATTAAATATGGTTAAATGCGATTTTAATGGGGTCAACATTAAATTATGGGGATGAGAAGGTTCACTAATCCTGTAAAGATCTTGATTTATAAATACTTCTGCATCCACGCTGCTATTAAAATCAAAACAGCAATACCATTGAGTATTATCGGCATATGCGTGAACTTTGCAAAACTTTCAAGATTTTAAAATGTCAGGAGTGTAAATCGAAAAAAAATTAACGGCCCCAAAATGGAACCTTGCGACACCCCGGAGAAAATGTCAATTTCTTTCGAATATCTGCTATCACTGACTATTTTGTGATATCGATTTGAAAAATACGATACGTGAATTAGAGGAAAAACCATAAAAATTCAGCTTGGAAATCGGTAGGTCAAGGGAGATTTCGAATCACCATTTGGAAAAATGTCTCTTCAAAACAGCTTCGCGTGTTTCGAATTTTTGCGCTTTTAAAATCATTTGCATGTATAAGGTTGTTCGGAAAGTCATTTCGTTTTTTCCCGTCAGAGGAATTAATTACGTTTTTTCGAAACCAACTTCACACTTAAGCCGCATAACCATTAGATGTCTTGAGAGCTGATATTGCAAGGCTTGTGTGTGAAAAAGTTCTATTAATTCTACGCAGTAGTTTTTGGTTGGTGCCCTTTTAAATATGGAGAGCAATAAGCAGCATTTTCGTCATATTTTACTTTTTTACTTCAGAAAAGGTAAAAATGCTGTCCAAGCGAGAAAAAAATTGACGGATGTGTATGGAGGAGGCGTGTTAACAGTACGCCAGTGCCAGAACTGGTTTGCAAAATTTCGATCCGGCAATTTTGATGTCGAAGATGCACCACGGTCTGGAAGGCCGGTCGAAGCTAACAAAGATGCGATAAAGGCATTAGTTGATGCAAATCGGCGAATAACCACACGAGAGATCGGTGAGAGATTAAATTTGTCGAATTCGACTGTTTATGGCCATTTGAAAGGCATGGGGTTAACCTCGAAGCTCGAAGCTCGATGTGTGGGTGTCCCATGTCCTTACGGAGCGAAATTTGTGTCGTCGCGTTGACGTGTGTGATTCGCTCCTCAAACGTCAAGAAAATGATCCATTTTTGAAGCGGATTATTACTGGGGACGAAAAATGGGTTGTATACAACAATGTTAAACACAAGAGGTCATGGAGCGGAAAAGATGAACCGGCTCAAAGCGTGTCAAAATCCAACATTCACCAAAAAAAGGTGATGCTCTCCGTTTGGTGGGATGTCAAAGGAATCGTTTTTTTTGAGCTTTTGCCGGACAATACAACGATTAATTCAGAAGTCTATTGTCATCAACTGGACAAATTGAATGATTCACTTAAAGAGAAGAGGCCCGAATTAATCAGCAGGAAGGGTGTAGTGTTCCACCAGGATAATGCGAGACCTCACACAAATTTGGTCACTCGCCAAAAACTTTTACAGCTTGAATGGGACGTACTGCAATATCCACCATATTCTCCAGATCTGGCGCCTTCCGACTACTATTTGTTCCGGTCCCTGCAAAATTTTTTGGATGACAAAACCTTTATCTCAAATGAAGATATCAAAAACCACCTGAACCAGTTTTTTGCCAGCAAGGACCAAAAATTTTATGAGAGGGGAATTATGTTACTGCCGGAAAGATGGCAAAAGGTATTGAACCAGAATGGCCAATATATAATTTAATAAAATATTTATTCATTATACGAAAACTGTCTTTCATGTTCCCCAAAAAAAACGAAATGACTTTCCGAACAACCCAATAGATCTTTTGACACAGCATTATCAGAATTATCAATATAGCATCAAGTTATTTTTGCACAAAAAAAGGGGAGGTGGCTTTTACTTGATGAAAATCCATTTAGCAAAATAAATAAGAACTAAAAGTTCAGATTTTCACGAAATTCACATGACAATTGTTTCGACATCACCGTGTCTTTCTCAAATGTAATATTTACAAACTACCTGTTACTATATATACCGAAAAATGACCATAAAACCTTAATTAATGTTGTGAGAATTTAAGTTCAATAAAGCAGAGGAATTTAAATCTAATTGAACGTTAAGCAATACATTTGAATGTCTCATTTTGTTAATCTCCATGGCTTCCGATAAATTTAATTTTCTACTTTTGGTGACTGTATGTAAAATATCAAAATTGTCGTCAAAAATGTCCTTTTCTGTGTTTTCTGTAGCATAATTAGAATCTAGACTATTGTTTTTAAACGCTCTTTTATGTTCGTTAATGCGTTTCTTGAAGGATCTACCTGTTTGTCCAATATAAATTTTAGGACAACCTGTAGACACCTGATTTTTGAGATTTTGGACATTTCGTTTTAATGTTTTTTAAAAATTTTCCTATTGTGTTGTTAGCTCTGAAAGCTATTTTTAAACCACATTTTGACAAATGTTTTGAAACTTTTTCACTGGGTTAAGTTTTTTTGTTGTAATTTTCTGAGTGGCGTGTAAAAGAGTGAAATGCAAGCATTTTGTGTGTATAACGGTGATTTGAGCTGTTATGTATGAGAATGTGCGTGTGTGTTAAGGTTTATGATAAATTGAAAAATCTAATTTGTTTTGCGCTTTCGTAAAGTGAAGTTTAAAAAAATTAATAGATTTATCCTGTTCAATCTCGATAGTGACTTCAATTCAAGAATTCAATTGTCTGTCCGTTCCGACAAAGCAAGCAAAGACATCATCCACGTATCTATACCACCATAGAAAACTTTTACTTAAAGGATTAATTATCCATAACAATCTCGGCTAACAAAGGACTAAGTGGGTTTCCCATAACCAAACCTTCTTTAGAGATGTAAATCTGTCCATTAAATTCAAAACAATTTTGGTCTAAAGATACTATTCAGCAATCTAATAAATCTTGTTTCACTAATTTCACTTCCATAGGTGGAATACTGGGAAATAAGTTTTGTACACCAAAAGACAATAGTGTTGCGTTAGAAGAGATTTTGATATCTTTAATTTTGTTGATTAATTCAAAAGAATTTTTATTGCAAATTTTGGTTTAAAATCTTTGTGGAATTAATTACTAACATTAATTAAGGTTTTATGGTCATTTTTCAGTATATATATATATATATATATATATATATATATATATATATATATATATATATATATATATATATATATATATATATATATATATATATATATATATATATAGTAGCAGGTAGTTTGGAAATATTACATTTGA